ACCCATTGTCCAAATAAAGTCATGATATCTTAAAAAGCAAAGACGGAGGAATGGGGTGGGGTGAGGGTGGGGGCGTTGTTGGTAGAAAAGGGGGGGGGCGTCGGCATGTCGAAAAATAAAAACAATAAAAGGTAGATAACTTCTTAAGGGGACGATGAAATCCTATACAGGGTTATCTGGTAATACTTCATGATGAGGTCTATCGATGGTTCAAATTTGGTCATGACGACCTCAATAGAAACAGGGCGAGGCAATGTCAAAATAATATTAAAAAACAAGAAAAAAGAAAAGAAAAGAAAAAAAAACATTTGAAAAACAATATGTTCTTTCCCAACGTAGGGGGAAAACTTTAAAAATCGACTTATAGGACTGTCACTTCGTAACATGAAACGTATATATGTTGTTTTTATTTTGTTTACATCTTTTTAACATTACGATAATATAGTATAAAAGTATTTGACTTCTCTACTGTTTACACCAGAATTATTTATTCTAAACTTAAAGACAAACTGAAAGAATTCGTCAAATCATACTTTAATAAAAAAAAATAATAAAATCTGATTTAGCAAATTAATCCGTAAAGAATTTCATAAAAATGCTGAGTTTTTCTTTAAATTACAGCATATTTGTAGCGTTTGGAGGGCATGTTTTTAATATTTCGGCATGCCTATTAGACTGAACTGTGCGCTTATGCTTGCCGACTTGTTCATTTATTCCTATGAGACAGACTTCATTCAGGATCTTCTCGAGAAATATGAAAAGAACCTGTTTATAATCCTTTATTTCACTTTCTGCTATATAAATAAAGCCTCTTTTCGTTGAATTATTCAAAATGAATATAAAATAAGGAGATGTGTCATGATTGCCAATGAGATAACTATCCAACAGAGTTCAAATGAAGCCGATCTAAGCAACTATCATAAAAGGTTAACGCGGCCTTCAACAATGAGCAAAGCCCAGGCGCGGATCCAGCTATTTTTTAAATGGGAGTTCCAACACGTGCAAGTGATATAAAAAGGGGGTTCCAACCATATGTCACCATACAATAGCATAAGTTGTCAAACAAAAAGGGGGTCCCAACCCCCGGAACACCCTGAATCTGCCACTGAGTCCATACCGAATAGTCAGCTATAATAGTTTGGTGAATACGTTGCCGACTGCATTTACCCCAATGAACATGAAATAAAGTATACTTATGGAGTTTTTAACGACCTTGACTGGCTATAAAGCCCTCGCCCGGTCGGTCGATAAAGTATACCACAGATCATCGACAGTGAAGTCTCCCTATTCTATGATCCATGATCCATGTACATTGTATCTAGAAATTGACAATGAGACTTGTTGAGAACTAACTTAAAACAAATGCTGTTCATAAACTTAAAGTAACATTCTATTGATTTTAAATTCATTAAGACTATCAAACTTTAAACTGAAATGTTTTTTTTTAAATACACATATAGAGCAGTCAACGGGAGATAATCCATGTCAAATTTCTTTAAAACACAAACTATATATCATAGATATTATCTTGGATATAATATATTAGTTATACTTTTCCGATAAAATTATTAAAAAAAACTAGTGAAAAATTACCAAGCATTTAGAATAAATGTTGGTTCACAACTCGTACTAATTTAAATTAATCGATGGCAGTGGCTGTACGTTGCAATTTAATTGCTAAATTCGGTCAGTGTCGTGATCATGAAGCGTTTTAGAGACAAAGAGGAAATATTTTGGCGCGAAATTAGCACATGGAAAATACACTCAGAGAGTGAAAATTGTATCTAATAGCCCACAGCACTCGTCCCTAGTAAGCGTTTGTGACAATTGACATTGCTTTTTTGGCAAAGTGTTTCGACCCATATCATAGTTTGGTAACAGTGTTTTTTTAAAGGATGTTTACCATCACATGGTGACATGCGCTTGGGACATGTATGGATGTAGGCACCGCCCATTTTCTGTTCCTCCTATTTTTTTTAAGTCGGGGTGGGATGTTAAGATATATTATTTCCCCTCATCTTACTCGTACTAATTTAAATTAAATGTTGTGTATGCATGCTACCTTTACAGTTTTTTATCATTACCGTCTCTGATTCTCTCCACCTAAAAAAAACTTAACTAACATGATAAGGAATGAAACCATGCGGCAAATTGGATTTAAAATTATAACTTAAAAAAAATTACTTATATAAGGCATTTTTCCTGTCAAATTTGTTTGGAATTTTCTCCCTCCGTGAATACATGAAAAATTGAGTCTAGTAAACTTTATTAATTCGTCTTTGATTTTTCTGTTTCCAGGTCTTCTTTTCTCTCTAAAGCCGCAATTGATTCAGAGTTTCATACAATTGTATGTAGTTTAATATTTGATTGGTAATTTTGAACAAATGTTCCAATTCATTATACATGTAACTTTAAATGTCTTCCCTACATATATATCACACTCTTCCCTACATATATATCACACTCTTCCATTTTAAAACTATTTATTAACTGAGAAAAATATAAATATTTATAAAACTTCTGAGTTGTAATCAATTTATTCACTAATTGCGATAATTTCCGCATATATTTCACGTTTTATTCCCGATCTGATGACATTTTATTATAAAACTGGAAGCAGGTATGTGTAGCATATGAATGCAAATTTTGCTACGCGTCCTCACATGCAGGGTCGCACAGACGCTGCCATTTTCATATTGTTACTTGGTAGCTCAAAATAAAGTAAAGTCCATGTCTGATTATATAATTCAGGAAAAATTTCTTAAGATGGTGAATGCATGTCTGACAACACACAATAAACTATAAATGCAATGCATTAAATAGGTTTTCAACGTGTTGTCATTTTCCTTCTTTAATTTAGATGCCCTTTATATTCCTATTTATAACTTGATGAGTATAAAAGTCTTAAAATGACCTATATTTGCTTTATCAAAATCAGTTTTACATAATGTTATTTTTTAAAAAAATGATAAAAAGGATATGTCAGTCACATAATTTTTAGCAAATACAATGTATACTGTTCAAAAACATAAAATCTTTCAACAAACTAGTATTTTTCTACCCCCAGGCATGGATGGTCTTAGTTGGATTTCTTATTTTGGGTTTTGTAAAGAATATACATGGAAAAATCATATTTGTGGGAATACAAAAAAAAATTCTAGAATTTATATGAGATGATTTTGCTCTTATACCAGAAAAAAAAAAGAAAAAATGTGGGTTACCTTTCTCATTTTTTTGCTATAAAACAAAATAATAAGATAACTGTCAATTCCTTTGTAAAATTTAAATTATATGATTTATCTCCCTTTACATGGCTACATATTATTTTTTTAAAGCAATTGCTTTCATGCTATAGCGTATGGCCATCTTTGTGATCCAGATCAGAGACTCTGCCCAGATCAAGCTAAATTTTTTTTAGCAGATTCCTAGTCTGTCATTCTTAAACACATGTACGTTTTCTGATGCAATAAATTGATTGAAACTGTTGAAAAAATTAGTGGATTGGAGAAATTTCAACATGTGTTTTTGTAGATGTATTTTTGTATGTAAGGGGACAACTGTTTGACTATCAAAGAACATAGAAGTCCGAGTGAAAAAAGTGCATTTTTATATTGAAAATTTGACTGAATTATCTCTTGTACGGTTTTGTGTTGTTTAATTCATGTTTCTTTTTTAAAGAGGTCAAGTTGCTCTTGTTCATTCATGAAATTATCGTTCATTCATAAAATTATGGTAAAATCACTACGCACGTTATAGTAATGTAATCTTATCTCGCATTATTTGTTTTTAATTAAAAGTAGCACAGTTTACGCGTTCTAATTACTCTTACAATGTTTTTAATACTTCCCATCTTCAAAATCTTTAATCTTATGTATGAATGAATGATTCTTATTATGAAAAGAAAACTATAGTTCAGTAGAACATTCACATCAAGAAAGTTGAAATCTTCAACTGAATGGTTAAATTTAAATCAATTATGATATAATTAAAATTAAAGCAATAAAGATAATGAAGCCTGGAAATTATTGCCCAGTTATAAACACTCTACAAGGGGATAATCTATTATGATTTCTTCATGAGTTATATGTTTCTTCAAATATATTTGCCTCCACCGTTAACCTGGTAAACGTGTCGTCCCCCTGGAAATGTAAAACATGATAAAAATGACTTTCTGCTGGTTAAGTCTTTTATTGATATAAACATGATAAAGTTAAAACATCCTTACTTCTTACTAGACAAATCTCCTGTCAGGTTTAATTCTTATACATGTGGATGAAAAATAAAAGTCACAAAAACATTAACTTGGCAGCAATTGCTTTAACAGCCTTTAAGGCTTTGATTTAGTCAACCACAATCTTAAGTATACTAATTGTCATAACAGTCAAACCTGTCTAACGGTCACCTTATTTCAGTGGTCACCTGCCTCTAACTGTCATTTTTAGACCCTCCCGAATGTTTTCTCTATATAAATTAACTTTGGTCAGCAGTCACCTAATTTTCACACAAAATCGTCATTTTCATGATTTTAACAACCATCAAATAATCATGTCGAAAAATATATGTGTTCAGTATTTAGGTTAAAATGAGAATAGGAACCTGTTTGCAACCAAGTTCTTGCAATAGGAGGTGAATTTGTTAAATTGATGTATTCCACTCCTTTCAATTTCCATTGAAAACCGTATCATCTACTTATTTCATCACAAATGTTATTTATTTCAAGTGTTTTCTTCAAATTTAGAGTGCCGGAAATCACTTCAGATTTTTTATTTGTCTGCTCACACGAACAATGACTCTACTGAATGAAAATATTAAACAATTTCCCCGACCCTGACCACATGCAATGTTGGAATCAGAATTTTTTCGAACCTAATTTAAACCACGAGTGACTGCTTAATGCAGGTTTGACTCAGTGAATTTTCATCATTTTGACAAAAAGTCTTAATTGCATTCCTTTCTATAAAGTTGGATATATACATATATATATAAATTTTTCATTTCAGAATGGAGTTTTGCAGCTTGAAGATGATGACTATATATTTGAGCCAGCACCCCATCATTTATTGTCCACATCTTACGGTGATACAGAAGCATCCCACATTCTGTACAGAGCTTCATCTTCATCAGTACAAAATCAATACTTTGATACAAATTGTAAGTTTAAAATAATGACAGTGTCCCTATATACATATATGTACAGGTCAGTCTAAATACCCAATCACTAGAAAAAATGTAGGAGATACCATAAGGGCAATTAAAAACCATTAGTTGAAGAAAAATGACAACACCTTGATATAAAAGAGGCAATCAACAGTCAGTTAAACACTAGCTACACACAAAACTAAAGATTGAGCAACATAGTGACACATACAGAGCCAAGATAGTTGTAGTTAGTTTGTTTGTATTTGAAATTCAAATTTCTGGATGTTTCAATAGACTATTGCCATGAGGCCAAATTAAATAAATTGTGTTTTCGATTTCCCAACCCTACCTCCATTTCATTGACTCTTAACATTTTATTGACAATATAAAAAAAAAATCCAGATATTTTGGTCTTTCAGAATCCAATCTTTCGTTTTGAATATAATTGATCTACAAAGCATTTGATAATAATGACTAATACACATAATAAAGCATATCAAGAACCAAGATTTTAGATTAACAAGCATGGCTTAACAAAGTTATAGCTCTTAGATCCTTATGATATTTTTTGACAATTTGCAGACCATAGATCTATGGTATTTGTTCTGATTATTATTTTTTTTCTTCTTCCACCAAACCCTTGTTGTGGTATATATAGTGGTTTCGCAAGATGTTTCTTAGATTTTTTTCATATATCGAACAGTTATTGCGTTTTTTGAAACTCACCCTATTTAACCGAACACTTTTTATTGTAAGAGTTATCTCTTCAAACAATTTTTCTTGTGTACGCATCTCCTTCGCAACCATAAAAGAAATCAACAAATTTATGAATTTGACAGCTAATGCCCCTTTAATTTGAGGTCTGAATATAAAATGACTGGTGCTAAATATTTGGGTTGTTCAGACAAAGATATGGTACATTCAGTCCAAAGCTATCTGATATCTTATTGGAGTAATTGCCCCTGTAATGTTAAAATTTGAGGTTAATTGATTATTTTTTCAATATGGTACATGATAAAGCCATAGGGTCTTTTGCAAAATGTTGGGTGACATATGACCTTGAAAGATGTTGACCTTGAGTACAAGGAAGTATCAATTTTTGAACTTTTTTCAAGGAAAAGTATATAAAACTATTATTAGAGACTGGAAGTGACAGAAGTAACCTACAAACTGGAAGTAGCTAATTATCTCCCTTATTTTAAGCAAAAGTATATAGAAACCATATATTTTTGGAATCAGTGTGAATAAAGCTATCATATGAAACGGGGAGTGACATTTTCTTAACCGGAAGTAGCCAATTATCTCCCTTATTTGGCCACAGACCACAATTAAATTCCCCTATTAGTTCTTTATAACGTTTTGTTTCATTAAAAAAATTGCACCTTGCATTTTTGTCAAATCTTTTGTGTGTATAATGTATAGTACTAGTCCAAAAATATATCCAAAATTCAGAAAGATTGAACCAATGACTCTTACAAATTTAGCCAATACACATCCATACCCCTATGGACAAGTCAAGAGATGTTCCGAAAACTGTAAATATCACCTTTTTGCACCTAGCCTAATCACTCTTTCCATATCAAAATCAGTTAAAATACAACATCCAAAAGATTATTTCACCTCTCTTCTTTTATTTCCACCCAAAAAAAACTAAGAAATGAGTGAGGAAGGGAAAGAAAAAAAATTAAGAAAAAATACACTCTAATTAAAAGGAACTATATTCGTGGACAACGAAAAGCGGGATCATTAATTGTGGTCTTGGGCCTATTAGGGATCTAAAACTTGACCAATTCTAATAAAACTTGGCATGATTTAAGCTTAGTGTATTATAAAACAGTTTACAAAGTTTCAAAGCCATATGATACCAATTATAAAAAATGTGGCATTTTTTATATCTGAACTTTGAGTGCTGAATTGTGGCGTTGAATTAGAACAATTTCAACTATCAAATTTGGGCTTCTAAAAACCAAAATATACCAAAACTTACATTTTTTAATGTTTCTATGTATAAGTTATCACCTATTAAAAGCAACAGATAGCATACTTCATGTTTCAGACTTATAAAAAATGGCCAGAAGTAAATTTTATATGAGCCTGTGCCAAAAAATAGAGGTTTTCAAATGAATCGAGGCCTTATATGAAATGTAATATTTTTCACTTACCACAATTTTCTGAAGTTGTTAAGTTATAAAAACACCTTTTACATGTTATAAATGTACTTTTAATGGAAATATAAGTTTCAAATAGCATAACACATGTGAATAAAATGGTCTTCAGCAATGTCAAACTTAAAAAAACAGGTTGTCAATTTAGGTCGTTCCCCACATTTGCATATTAAAAAGCATATAAATGATATGGTAGATAGAGATATGCTTCTTTTTGCTCAAATCTTTGTTTAGATATGATAAAACATGGAGCCTGGATGTAACATGACTGTCACTTTCAACTATATATGTAGACAGTATGATTTGATGCAAAGTTATTTACTTTACTTTTTAAAACCGGCATGAAATTTCAGCCTCAAAAGGCCAATATTTTAACCACTAGCTATCAAACAAAAGAAAATAAAGGAAGCCTGTGAAACAGACAAGGTCAAACAACCAGTAATAAGTGCTTTTGATACAGATTCAGTGAAATCTGCTAAAAGGAATTCAACTTGTATGTGCATAGAACCTCATTTTTCACTTGCTTCATACTGACGGTTAGACTAAGACCATTAAAGCAGCACATTTTGCACTCTTATTCTGATTTTTATCTACTTTTTTTTGTGTTCAGTGTTCAAAAATGAGTTAAACATCTACATTAGATACCACAAACACAAATAGAAAACCAGAAAAATCTGTCAGAGAGAAAGTAAGCATGCTACTTTTGTAAAAATATTGAAACAACTGAAAAAGTTCAATTTTGGGCATGTAGGCTGAAATGTCACTTTTTTACAAAATTTCTATCAAATAAAAGTGGAAATCATTTATTCTCATGTAGTTTGACAAATTAATACCAATAGATCATTCAGGGAAGTTGTCAAAGTACAAATTCAATATTTCCTGAATTCACCTCTTAGGCCACAGACCACAATTAAATTCCCCTATTAGTTCTTTATAACGTTTTGTTTCATTAAAAAAATTGCACCTTGCATTTTTGTCAAATCTTTTGTGTGTATAATGTATAGTACTAGTCCAAAAATATATCCAAAATTCAGAAAGATTGAACCAATGACTCTTACAAATTTAGCCAATACACATCCATACCCCTATGGACAAGTCAAGAGATGTTCCGAAAACTGTAAATATCACCTTTTTGCACCTAGCCTAATCACTCTTTCCATATCAAAATCAGTTAAAATACAACATCCAAAAGATTATTTCACCTCTCTTCTTTTATTTCCACCCAAAAAAAACTAAGAAATGAGTGAGGAAGGGAAAGAAAAAAAATTAAGAAAAAATACACTCTAATTAAAAGGAACTATATTCGTGGACAACGAAAAGCGGGATCATTAATTGTGGTCTTGGGCCATTTTAAGCAAAAGTATATAGTAACCATATATTTTTGGAATCAGTGTGAATAAAGCTATCATATGAAACAGGGAGTGACATTTTCTTAACCGGAAGTAGCCAATTATCTCCCTTATTTTAAGCAAAAGTATATAGAAACCATATATTTTTGGAATCAGTGTGAATAAAGCTATCATATGAAACTGGGAGTGACATTTTCTAGACCAGAAGTAGCAAATTATCTCCCTTATTTCAGATAAAAGTAAAGGACAATATGGAACACTCCAAAAATTGGTGACCAGAAAGATCTTTAGATTTTGTATGTTCATAGTTTTTACATGATAAAATCTTTTTCTTTTTTTCAGATACTATAGAAAATAATAAAAGTGATATTTATTATAATCCATCAAGACGAAAAGAAGCAGAATTTGATGAAAACCAGACATTGCACAATGGTAGTTATATATATTTCAACCCTGCCAGAAGGAAGCGAGCTACACCCAGAAAATTGGTGAAGACAGTGGAAACTTTAGTGGTTGTAGATAAACATGTTTACTGGAAACATGGAAGAAATAACATCACAACATATGTACTTAGTATGTTTAATATTGTAAGTATGAACAAAGACAAGAGAAAAAATGTTCCTTGTCAATGCATTATCCTCAACATTTTTATGAAATAAGAGATGTGGTATGGTTACCAATGAGACAACCATCTACCAGAGACCAACAGACGTAGATTTGAGCAAATATAGGTAGCCTTCAACCAGGGTTTAAGCTAGGATTTTGAGGGCTTTAGTCACTTTTGCGCGAGATGAAAATCAACATTATTTTGGGTAACAGCAAGGGACCAAGGATGTATGCATATTACTAGCTATACATCTTTGTCAGACTTTGAAGGACTAAGGCATCAATTTACTAGGCAGTAATTGCATGATTTGACTGATGTGTCACTAAAATATGAAAATTAGGATATAAGATCTGAAAATCTAGTTCTAAATTTTACTTCTATTAGTTTCAGGGGACATTCCTAATCAACTAAAGTTGGGTTCCTTTTTTTAAAACCAGGAATCACAGTATAAATGAACTTGTTGAACTTTGTATTAAAGACTATTACACTGCATAATCATTATCCTTATAAAACGTTTAAATTTCTATAAAGTTGGAACCAAGGATTTGTACAAATTCACATGGAACAATTCCAATTGCTGTAAATTGTAAATTAATCGAGAATTGATCACATTTACTTTCGATTTTCAAATGAAATGTAAACAGGAAGTGACAAGTAGATAATAGATTCAGAATGAATCCGGATTCATCTACAGATTGGTTCGTGTTTAAAAAAAAGGCAGGAAATTTTCATTTTTTTTATCATAATTTGCTTAGTAAGAACTATATTTGTCTCTCTCAATTATTTTGGTACTAAATTTATTTCGTATTTTACGTTTTAGTGTCGATAGGAATACTTTCACGCATGCGCAGTATATCGTAAAGGAAGCACCTGTTTGACTCGTTGATGATGATGAAAGTTTTTAACGTGAAAACATTTCTGAACATTTTGAATAAAGTTCTATCTTTTTAATCGAAATTGAATGTTTTATATCAAAGATGACGAAATTACGATCATTTGACGAAACTACGACAAACGAACTGCAAACTATGATCGTTTTAGAAATATTGAAATTAAAAAGCGAACTGTCCGGGGGAAAACAATTTTGTTCAAATGACAAAACTACGACAAACGAACTGCAAATTGTGGTCGTTGGCCTTGAGAAATATTGAAATTAAAATGCAGACTGACTAATTTTACTGGGGAAAATAATTAACCGGATTAGTGACCCATCCGATGGGGGTAAGCGGATTAGCTGTAACAGAGACATATAATACATATTATATTTCTCTGGCTGTAATCACAACTTTATAACACCTGTTGTAAATCTTAATTAGCTGAGGGTCATAAACTTGTCAGAAACATGTAGACAGGTAGAATTATAGTATTTTCATGCGAAAATATTTTTACACTTTCCAAATTTAAGTGACGAAATTGATTTGAAATACTTTCGTCATTTTGAAAACAGTTTCGTAAATTACGAAAGTGACCAGCGCTAGCAAAATCACTCTTCAACAATGAGTAAAACACATACCGCATAGCAAGCTACAAAAGACCACAATATAACAAAATTTAAAACGATTCAAATGAGAAAACTAACAGCCTGATTTATGTACAAAATAACAAAAGAAGAAAAAACCAAACAGAATAAACAGTAACAAACAACAAACACTGAATTATAGGCTCCTGACTTAGGACAAGCACTGAATTATAGGCTCCTGACTTAGGACAAGCACTGAATTATAGGCTCCTGACTTAGGACAGGCACAGAATTATAGGCTCCTGACTTAGGACAGTCACAGAATTATAGGCTCCTGACTTAGGACAGGCACAGAATTATAGGCTTCTGACTTAGGACAGGCACAGAATTATAGGCTCCTGACTTAGGACAGGCACTGAATTATAGGCTCCTGACTTAGGACAGGCACAGAATTATAGGCTCCTGACTTAGGACAGGCACAGAATTATAGGCTCCTGACTTAGGACAGGCACTGAATTATAGGCTCCTGACTTAGGACAGTCACAGAATTATAGGCTCCTGACTTAGGACAGGCACTGAATTATAGGCTTCTGACTTAGGACAGGCACAGAATTATAGGCTCCTGACTTAGGACAGGCACAGAATTATAGGCTCCTGACTTAGGACAGGCACAGAATTATAGGCTCCTGACTTAGGACAGGCACAGAATTATAGGCTCCTGACTTAGGACAGGCACAGAATTATAGGCTCCTGACTTAGGACAGGCACTGAATTATAGGCTCCTGACTTAGGACAGGCACAGAATTATAGGCTCCTGACTTAGGACAGGCACTGAATTATAGGCTCCTGACTTAGGACAGGCACAGAATTATAGGCTTCTGACTTAGGACAGGCACAGAATTATAGGCTCCTGACTTAGGACAGGCACTGAATTATAGGCTCCTGACTTAGGACAGGCACAGAATTATAGGCTCCTGACTTAGGACAGGCACAGAATTATAGGCTTCTGACTTAGGACAGGCACAGAATTATAGGCTCCTGACTTAGGACAGGCACTGAATTATAGGCTCCTGACTTAGGACAGGCACAGAATTATAGGCTTCTGACTTAGGACAGGCACAGAATTATAGGCTCCTGACTTAGGACAAGCACTGAATTATAGGCTCCTGACTTAGGACAGTCACAGAATTATAGGCTCCTGACTTAGGACAGGCACTGAATTATAGGCTCCTGACTTAGGACAGGCACAGAATTATAGGCTCCTGACTTAGGACAGGCACAGAATTATAGGCTTCTGACTTAGGACAGGCACAGAATTATAGGCTCCTGACTTAGGACAGGCACAGAATTATAGGCTCCTGACTTAGGACAGGCACAGAATTATAGGCTCCTGACTTAGGACAGGCACAGAATTATAGGCTCCTGACTTAGGACAGGCACAGAATTATAGGCTCCTGACTTAGGACAGGCACAGAATTATAGGCTCCTGACTTAGGACAGGCACAGAATTATAGGCTCCTGACTTAGGACAGGCACAGAATTATAGGCTCCTGACTTAGGACAGACACTGAATTATAGGCTCCTGACTTAGGACAGGCACAGAATTATAGGCTCCTGACTTAGGACAGGCACTGAATTATAGGCTCCTGACTTAGGACAGGCACTGAATTATAGGCTCCTGACTTAGGACAGGCACTGAATTATAGGCTCCTGACTTAGGACAGGCACTGAATTATAGGCTCCTGACTTAGGACAGGCACAGAATTATAGGCTCCTGACTTAGGACAGGCACAGAATTATAGGCTCCTGACTTAGGACAGGCACAGAATTATAGGCTCCTGACTTAGGACAGGCACAGAATTATAGGCTCCTGACTTAGGACAGGCACAGAATTATAGGCTCCTGACTTAGGACAGACACTGAATTATAGGCTCCTGACTTAGGACAGGCACAGAATTATAGGCTCCTGACTTAGGACAGGCACTGAATTATAGGCTCCTGACTTAGGACAGGCACTGAATTATAGGCTCCTGACTTAGGACAGGCACTGAATTATAGGCTCCTGACTTAGGACAGGCACTGAATTATAGGCTCCTGACTTAGGACAGGCACAGAATTATAGGCTCCTGACTTAGGACAGGCACAGAATTATAGGCTCCTGACTTAGGACAGGCACAGAATTATAGGCTCCTGACTTAGGACAGGCACTGAATTATAGGCTCCTGACTTAGGACAGGCACTGAATTATAGGCTCCTGACTTAGGACAGGCACAGAATTATAGGCTCCTGACTTAGGACAGGCACAGAATTATAGGCTCCTGACTTAGGACAGGCACAGAATTATAGGCTCCTGACTTAGGACAGTCACAGAATTATAGGCTCCTGACTTAGGACAGGCACTGAATTATAGGCTCCTGACTTAGGACAGGCACAGAATTATAGGCTCCTGACTTAGGACAGGCACAGAATTATAGGCTCCTGACTTAGGACAGGCACTGAATTATAGGCTCCTGACTTAGGACAGGCACAGAATTATAGGCTCCTGACTTAGGACAGGCACTGAATTATAGGCTCCTGACTTAGGACAGGCACAGAATTATAGGCTCCTGACTTAGGACAGGCACATACAGATTGTGGTGAGGTTAACTATGTGAATTATAGGCTCCTGACTTAGGACAGGCACATACAGATTGTGGTGAGGTTAACTATGTGAATTATAGGCTCCTGACTTAGGACAGGCACATACAGATTGTGGCAAGGTTAACTATGTGAATTATAGGCTCCTGAACTTAGGACAGGCACATACAGATTGTGGCCAGGTTAACTATGTGAATTATAGGCTCCTGACTTAGGACAGGCACATACAGATTGTGGCCAGGTTAACTATGTGAATAATAGGCTCCTGACTTAGGACAGGCATATACAGATTGTGGCCAGGTTAACTATGTGAATTATAGGCTCCTGACTTAGGACAGGCACATACAGATTGTGGCCAGGTTAACTATGTTTGTAGGCTCCCAACCCTCCCACTGACTTTGGACAGCGGTGTAACAGAACAATAAAAGAACAAACTATAAAAAACTGTCAATTTTTATATATTTTTTTGGACAGAGGATGTATTTTAGTTTAAAACAAAAGTTTGTGTATCTTGAAATAACTGTATAAAATTTATTAAACATTACATTACATAATGAGATCTTTTGATTTGGAGTGAAACTAAGTTCTGTTTTTATTTAAATATGATTTATTTTATGGTTATTTTTACAGTCGTCATGGTCATGAAGGACTGTACTAGGTTTTTTGCCTTTTGTATTTGGTTAGAAAAAAGAAGTATAGTCATATTTGTAAGAAAATTAAAAGTAATAAGATGGTAATGTTTATAAAACAATTTCATAGTTTAGAAGTAATGATTCTTTTGTTCACACCCTGAAAAAAGTTTAGAATAGGATGTTATTCTTTTTTTATGACAGAATGTACCCAATATCTGATATTTTCAGAAATCAGAGAAAAAAAACACAAGATAAGTGAGCGGCTAATCACAATATTTTAAGATGATAATTGCACAACTGACATGCTTTACCTATGTTTTCTTTTTAACAGGTGTCTCAATTGTTCCAAGAGAGTGGTATAAGATATAGAGTCAAGATTGTTGTTGTTGGTTTGGTTATCTTGGAAAGTAATGAGGTATGTTACTTAATTGATACCCCCCCCCCCCCCCCCCCTCACTTAGCACAGAGAGACAACTTGGTCTGACTTCATACAATGGCTAGTGTATTATATGATTGATAGGAAGAGATATATTAGAAACCACTTGGACATGAATAAGGCCCTCAAGGGACAATGCGGTTCATTAGGCCTTCTACAGTGAGAAAAACCCAAGACATGATAAAATGTGAACCTATTCAAAGGACAAGACCAGATAACTGATTTATGCTTATGCTTAAACAATAAACCAAAATCAACTATTGCATGCAGTAACCACTAATTTATAAATTTCTGACTTGTGACAAGCACTTAAAGAATGTGATGGGGTTTAACATTTTTCTGAGCACATAACATTCCTCTAACCAGGGACAGCTGTTTAATAGCAGCTATACAATATGTAAAAATCAGTCGAAAGGGCTTTCCTCATCTAAATGACACAAAGCACATAAGTAATCAACAAAAAGATAAAAGAAACAATTGAACTGATCTTAGAGATAAGAAGTTTAATACTAAACACTATAGTTGAAAGCACATTTAAACTAACAAAATCAAGTTTTAGCAGACTTAAAATTCAATCAGTACACATCTTTTTTATGAAACTATTACATGTTTCTTACTAAAGATAAATTCCATGGCATCATAATGTAACAAAATTGAATTTATTCTCACATCTTTTAATAAGGCTTGAGTGTCCCAACATTTTGTCAGAATATACTTGTTTTAATTTTCTGCAAGTTTTTTTTTTCTTCAGCCAGGTTTGAATATAAACAACAATGCAGACAAGACATTGAACAGTTTCTGTCAGTGGCAGGCTTTGATAAAGAAAGGGAGACAAAAAAAACATGACCATGCCGTACTCCTTACAGGACTTGATATATGTGCCTTCAGCGACAAACCATGTGATACATTAGGTAATGTGAAGGAAAATGATAAAAACTTCGTAAAAATTGGGTCCATTTCTTGAGTTCAAAGTGAAGTTTAACATTTTCCAAAGTCTAGATACACATATATATAAAATACTGCAGGCAACACACATCTTTCTTAAATAAAACATGCACATTTAAAATTAAGGCAAATTAAATGCAATATTTCGTTTTCAGTCAACAGTTATGTTTTACCATGAATAACCAGTAATAGTCCTTGCATATTCATAAGTGCAATTTGAATTGTTAACACTATACAAAAATTGTATAAACAACACAAATAACACACCACATCTAACCATGTATAGTAGTTTCACAATTGTTAGTTTTTGGTACAAATTTGTAGAAATCTAGTTAGTTTTAATATAACCTTGAAATTAATGCAAAGTTTACAGAAAATTTTCATTTTAGTGGCGACCATATGGGTTTCAACCACAGAAGTCAAATATTAAAAGTCTGATAAGTCAATTTCAAATTGGTCATTAGACAAGAATTCCATTAAGAAGCTAATTGAAATGAGTCATAAACACCAAATTCTGTGAAAATGAGAATTTTCTTAATATCATTTTTTTACATCTCAAAAACACATTTTTGACCAAAAAACTAAAAATGTTGCCTAATTTGTGATTTAGTTATATGCAATAGAAATTTTTACTCTGAAGAGATTAATGGAGGTGGTGCATTTCTTTTGTTGTTGAGTATATATTAAATTTAACTCCATATGTTTTTTGTAGGGTTTGCCCCAATTAACGGTATGTGTGAAGAAGCTAGAAGTTGTATTGTGACTGAGGATAGTGGTTTATCTACAGCCTTTACTATAGCTCATGAGATAGGACACAAGTAAGTTTAGGTCTCATAGAAGATGTATTGTGACTGAGGATAGTGGTTTATCTACAGCCTTTGCTATAGCTCATGAGATAGGACACAAGTAAGTTTAGATCTCATAAAAGTTGTATTGTGACTGAGGATAGTGGTTTATCTACAGCCTTTACTATAGCTCATGAGATAGGACACGAGTAAGTTTAGATCTCATAGAAGTTGTATTGTGACTGAGGATAGTGGTTTGTCTACTGCCTTTACTATAGTGCATGAGATAGGACACAAGTAAGTTTAGATCTCATAGAAGATGTATTGTGACTGAGGATAATGGTTTATCTACAGCCTTTGCTATAGCTCATGAGATATGACAGGAGTAAGTTTAGATCTCATAGAAGATGTATTGTGACTGATGATAGTGGTTTATCTACAGCCTTTACTATAGCTCATGAGATAGGACACAAGTAAGTTTAGATCTCATAGAAGTTGTATTGTGACTGAGGATAGTGGTTTATCTACAGCCTTTACTATAGCTCATGAGATAGGACACAAGTATGTTTAGATCTCATAGTTGATGTATAGATAGTACACAAGTAATTTTAGACCTCATAGAAGTTGTATTGTGACTGAGGATACTGGTTTATCTTCAGCCTTTACTATAGCTCATGAGATAGGACACAAGTACGTTTAGACCTCAAAGAAGTTGTATTGTGACTGAGGATAGTGGTTTGTCTACTGCCTTTACTATAGCTCATGAGATAGGACACAAGTATGTTTAGACCTCATAGAAGTTGTATTGTGACTGAAGATAGTGGTTTCTCTACTGCCTTTACTATAGCTCATGAGATAGGACACAAGTATGTTTAGATCTCACAGAAGTTGTTTTGTGACTGAGGATAGTGGTTTATTTACAGACTTTACTATAGCTCATGAGATAGGACACAAGTAAGTTTAGATCTCATAGAAGTTATATTGTGACTGAGGATAGTGGTTTATCTTCAGCCTTTACTATAGCTCATGAGATAGGACACAAGTAAGTTTAGATCTCATAGAAGTTGTATTGTGACTGAGGATAGTGGTTTATCTTCAGCCTTTACTATAGCTCATGAGATAGGACTCAAGTAAGTTTAGATCTTATAGAAGATGTATTGTGACTAAAGATAGTGGTTTATCTACAGCCTTTACTATAGCTCATGAGATAGGACACAAGTAAGTTTAGATCTCATAGAAGATGTATTGTGACTGAGGATAGTGGTTTATCTACAGCCTTTACTATAGCTCATGAGATAGGACACAAAGTAAGTTTAGATCTCATAAAAGTTGTATTGTGACTGATGATAGAGGTTTATCTACAGCCTTTACTATAGCTCATGAGATAGGACACCAGTAAGTTTAGATCTCATAAAAGTTGTATTGTGACTGATGATAGAGCTTTATCTACAGCCTTTACTATAGTGCATGAGATAGGACACAAGTAAGTTTAGATCTCATAGAAGATGTATTGTGACTGATGATAGAGGTTTATCTACAGCCTTTACTATAGCTCATGAGATAGGACACAAGTAAGTTTAGATCTCATAGAAGTTGTATTGTGACTGAGGATAGTGGTTTAATTACAGCCTTTACTATAGCTCATGAGATAGGACACAAGTATGTTTAGATCTCATAGTTGATGTATAAATAGTACACAAGTAATTTTAGACCTCATAGAAGTTGTATTGTGACTGAGGATACTGGTTTATCTTCAGCCTTTACTATAGCTCATGAGATAGGACACAAGTACATTTAGACCTCAAAGAAGTTGTATTGTGACTGAAGATAGTGGTTTGTCTACTGCCTTTACTATAGCTCATGAGATAGGACACAAGTATGTTTAGACCTCATAGAAGTTGTATTGTGACTGAGGATAGTGGTTTCTCTACTGCCTTTACTATAGCTCATGAGATAGGACACAAGTATGTTTAGATCTCACAGAAGTTGTTTTGTGACTAAGGATAGTGGTTTATTTACAGACTTTACTATAGCTCATGAGATAGGACACAAATAAGTTTAGATCTCATAGAAGTTGTATTATGACTGAGGATAGTGGTTTATCTTCAGCCTTTACTATAGCTCATGAGATAGGACACAAGTAAATTTAGATCTCATAGAAGATGTATTGTGACTGAGGATAGTGGTTTATCTACAGCCTTTACTATAGCTCATGAGATAGGACACAAGTAAGTTTAGATCTCATAAAAGTTGTATTGTGACTGATGATAGAGGTTTATCTACAGCCTTTACTATAGCTCATGAGATAGGACACCAGTAAGTTTAGATCTCATAAAAGTTGTATTGTGACTGATGATAGAGCTTTATCTACAGCCTTTACTATAGCTCATGAGATAGGACACAAGTAAGTTTAGATCTCATAGAAGATGTATTGTGACTGATGATAGAGGTTTATCTACAGCCTTTAATATAGCTCATGAGATAGGACACAAGTAAGTTTAGATCTCATAGAAGTTGTATTGTGACTGAAGATAGTGGCTTATCTACAGCCTTTACTATAGCTCATGAGATAGGACACAAGTAAGTTTAGGTCTCATAGAAGTTGTATTGTGACTGAGGATAATGGTTTATCTTCAGCCTTTACTATAGCTCATGAGATAGGACACAAGTAAGTTAAGATCTCATAGAAGATGTATTGTGACTGAGGATAATGGTTTATCTTCAGCCTTTACTATAGCTCATGAGATAGGACACAAGTATGTTTTGATATATTATTTACCATTAAATTGTTGTTTTCTTGAGAAAAAAAATCATAAGAGGAATTCAAAAAAACATGTATTAGAATATTTTTTCAGAGAAAGTAGAAATCCAGGGAGATTTATACAATCCAGAAAACAGATTCATACAGCTTTTTGTAATAAGATAGTAAACACATAAATATTGATAAATATGTTTTTCCTCAGCTTTGGTATGATGCATGATGGTACAGACAATCCATGTAGATCTAATGCTGGAACAATAATGTCACCCACACTCAGTTCTAGGACAGGGTTGTTCAGATGGTCCAGATGTAGTAAACATTACCTTGACAGGTATTTCAAGTAAGTATTAAGTAAAATAACAAAAATACCGAACTCCAAGGGAAATCCAAGGGAAATTCAAAATGGAAAGTCCTTTATGAAATGGCAAAATCAAAAGTTTAAACACATCAAACGAATGGACAACAACTGTCATATTCCTGACTTGGTACTGGCATTTACTAATGTAGAAAATGGTGGATTAAACCTGGTTTTATAGCTAGCTAAACCTCTTGCTTATATGACAGTCATATAGAATGAGTATGACACACTTATACACTGAATACCAGACTCTATCGTTCTTACATATTTTTTCAGATGCTTAAATTGTCGAATTAGTTAAATATGCCTCTTGCCTTTTGTTGAGAAGAATGTCTGCTATATAATTTGGAAAATTCTTACATAACTTGTTGTTCCAACTAGTAATTGAAAAATGTTATTCTAGTGCTCTAGATGTTCCATTTGACTGAATATATGAAAATTTTGATATTCATGATAATCTATTTAGTTGGTAAATATTAAGCTTGAGATATTAACAATTATGTTTTTTGGTCCAGTGTACAGTGTCTAGTATGTGTATTCCCTTTAAATTGTTCTGCCATTTTAAGCCCTGCCTACAATAGAAGGAGTCATTATTTTTTCTGGTCTGTGTGTCCATCTCTCCTGCATCATGTTTAAGTTTTTGGTTAGGGAAGTTTACCATGAAGTTTTGGTCACATCAACTCAAGTTAGTAAACACAAGTTCATTGTTATATTAATAGATTTCAAGAATATATGCCAAATAAGGGTTAAGACTCGAATTTCATGGTTCACTGAACATGGAAATGTGATGTGATGGTGTGAGCAGGGCATGGTGTCCCTCCTATGGACATATATTCTTGTTGTGTATTAGTGTTTTAACTTTGTTCAGTTTAAGAATTATTAATGTCTACATAAGAATGACTGGTATCCACAATGTATAAAGTTAATTTGTATTTTTAGTACCATACAGGCATCATGTCTTGAGAACAGACCTCATGGACTTGGAGAATTACAGTTCCCAGACAGACTGCCAGGAGAACTGTTTGATGCAGACACTCAGTGTAGATGGCAATTTGGAAGAAATGCAAGACTCTGCATATTTGATTTTGGAAAGGTTTGTGCCCAAACAACCTTTTCATTTCAAATTTTATTGTTAATTATTGAAAAACTAGCATAAACTACACTTATTTAAATAACTAGTGGTAACAAATTCCTTTAAAATGAATTGAAGGTGTTTACTGTTAAGTCTTTAAATTCATTATGGTTTAAATATTCATGTCTTTATTTGTGGGTAAAATTTAACTACAAAATTTAGTGTTTTTTAAACAGCACTATACGTACTGACTGACATCTTTGAGACAAATTACCAGAGGATCGAGGGTGTGATAAGACATTCTGCTTACCTGTTACCTGACATATCTAAAGCATTACTATAATATGACATCCTTCTTTTGCTTTGTAAACCATGCCTTGTTCTAATTCCAATTAAACATGGGAGACACATGCTTGACATGCTTCCCAAGTCAGGAGCCTGTAATTTGGTTGTTGTATGTCATAAATCTTGCCAAGTAGTTGGTTTTCTTGTTTGAATTGTTTCACATTTTGTCATTTCTGGGCCTTTGATAGCTGATTATACAGTATGGGTTTTGCTCATTGTTGAAAGTCATACAATGAATAACCTTTAAAATTGAGAATGGAAATGGGGAATGTGTCAAAGAGACAACAACCCGACCATAGAGCAGACAACAGCCGATGGCCACCAATGGGTCTTCAATGCAGCGAGAAACTCCCGCACCCAGGGGCGTCCTTCAGCTGGCCCCTAAACAAATATGTATACTAGTTCAGTGATAATGGATGTCATACTAAACTCCAAAATATACACAGGAAACTAAAAATAAAAATGATACAAGACTAACAAAGGCCAGAGGCTCCTGACTTGGGACAGGCGCAAAAACGCAGCACAACAGTACGCATAGTAAAACTCAGTAAAAGAGAAGTCTGAGTCCGATGTCAGAAAAGGAAACAATAGAAAATAAACAAAATGACAATAATACATAAATAACAACAGACTACTAGCAGTTACTGACATGCCAGCGCCAGACCTCAATTAAACTGATTGAAAGATTATGTCTTCATCATATGAATATCAGGCACAATCCCTCCTGTTAGGGATTTAGTATTATACTGTCATAAAATATATGAGAAGAACATAACCCGTGTCATGCCAACAACTGGTTTTAGAATAAATGTGTTTAATTCGATGCAAAGACCCTATAAGTGAATCAATATTAAAGCCAAAATATGCAATCTTTAATGACCTGACAACAGTATCGTAACTATATCCCTTCTTAATAAGTCTGTTTAAAGGTTTTGTTAGCTTTTGAGGTGAATACTGATATTTTTGTGCTTTGTAAAGAATATTACCATAAAAGATTGGATGTGAAATACCCGAACTTATAAGATGTCTGCATGTTGAGTTATATTTACAAATGATGTCCTTTAGTTGTTTACATCTGCATCAAAGTCTCAAAAGGCACATTTCTGTAGGAGATGCTTGTTATCAAATTTAATAAATCTTTAAGAAAAAGTAAGTTTTTTTTTGTATTTGTTCAATTTTAAATCATAAGCAGTTGTTTGCCAGAACACTTTTGCTTCATCAAATCAACATGGATGTCCTGCTGTTTTTAATGTTGGCTGACTGAACTGGTGTTTACTGGTGACACAAATTTTACTTATTATATAACCTTCAGCTATCACATAGTCTAATGTAGTGTTAATGGCTAATACTTGATGTATTTCAGAGAGAGATTTGTCAGAAGTTATGGTGTTATAAAGGAGGATTGATGTGTGAGACAAAGTTCCTACCAGCAGCAGACGGTACTTCATGTGGTAATGGTATGGTAGGTAGGCATATTTTGTCATGGTAGCTTACTTGTGCTCAGTCTCAGAAATGTCCAGGATATTCAGCAGGTCTGAAGAGTTTGTTTTTCAGGACTACAGGCCTTTTCAATTATGTTTTTATCATGTTACTTGTGCTTTTAATAGGCTTTTGGACAAGGGCTTTTCTAATGCTTATGATATTATGAGCTAGAACATAACTTTCTAGATGAAACACCTTCGATAAACTGCAAAATTACTTTCTAGATAAATAAGAAAAAAAAAATTTTTTTTTGAATGAATTAATTTCCTGTTTATGTGAAATGCAGATTTTCTTCATAGATACAGTATTAAACCATTGGAAAATACATATACTGCTATTACCTTTTTAGCACCAAACAGAAATTGATTTGTGGATTTCTTACTAAAGAATTATAGTTCACATTAAGCTTGAAAAGACCCAGTGTTTGTGGACTTAAATTGACTGTCATTCCTTGACCAAGGAGAAAGAACATAAATTTGTTAACAGAGTTCATTGATAGTTCACAAAAGAAATATTTCATTCACTTTGTACATAAGAATATTATACCAAATCAAGATATGCTAGAAGGGAGATAATTATGGACAAGTTCTTATTCCTAAATTTTGATTTAAATATTCCAGTGGTGTAAACAGGGTAATTGTGAGTCATATGGAAGAAAAGGTCCACAGCCTAGAGATGGAAATTGGTCTATTTGGGCAGAATGGGAACAGTGCTCCAGGACCTGTGGAGGAGGGGTTAAAAAAAGGAATAGACTCTGCAGTAATCCTTTGTAAGTTTCAGAGATAAAAATGTTAGAATTTCATTTGAATTTTATTATTAAGATGATTGTTATTTTTATTGATGCTGGACACCTTCAGGTCTAGCTGTATAATTTTCATTTATTATGTTCGCAACCAAATATTTAGACATATGGAATTTTGAATGAATGCCAAGGTAGGGAGGTTCTTTAAATATGGATTCTTCAATTGAAAATGCTTGAACCAATCCTGCAATAGTAAAATCTTTTTTCAATTACCAAGTGTGCAGATATATCTACTGTACAGAAATTATTGTGAGGTTTTTAAGCAGTTAAGCTGCTTTATGCGAGCACCCTAGATTTGTGCTCTACCCAATAAATGCTGAAATATGTGCCATTGTTATTATCTGGCTGGCTATTATGTTATTTATAACTAATTGAACACTTTTTTCATACTTTTTATTCTGGAATACAAAAAATATGACCAGAAAACCTTAAATGATGGTCGAACCACCCAAAAGTTTTGAAGTTGCACATAGAAAGTAGTGCTTGCTTGAAATCCTTATGTAGATAATTATCCCCTGTGCTTTTGGCTAAGATGTCAAAGAACAATTGTCTGAAATATTTAATCGCCGAAAATCTCTAATTACAAGTCGTTTACATTTGCCAAATGGCAAAAAGTGCAGGAATATTGTATAACGGCTGTGACTAATATGAGGACACGGTGTTAAGTCTCAGTTGGCGGTAATTTTAACTTCGTCGACAAAACGTAAATCAAGGACGTTCTAAATTTGGTGGATTCAGATAATACGAAGGTAATTAATATTAATCATTTTATTCGTTTTTGTCTGAGATGATTATGATTATTTAAATCATTTTCATTAAATGTATGCTCATTTGTTTTCTTGTTAACACTATTCCGTTTATCTCGTAAATGAGCTTCATGCTTGTCAAATCAAGTTGTTATTGTTATTGAATGAAATAAAACGAGATCTGATTGGTTGATTTCAAGGTCATTTCAAGATGGTTTCCTTTGTGTTTTTAGTTCAGGCTTTGGTGTTACAGACTGCTACATGTGCTTTGATTTAGCTCAATGTGCTTCAAATAATATTGAGATTAAAACTTTAACAATTGTTTTCTAAAGGACGGCATTATTTAACTTCCAAAGTTGCATATTTTTGTAAAATATTAAGTCCGAATTTGTGATGCGTCTCACAACGTAATTGTTTTTGATTTACAAGGATTTTTCAATTTCCGGTTTTGAAAAATACAACTTTTTCGATGGTTCATTTTATAAATTTTTCATATTTAAACACTCGTGAAGTGTATAGAATCATTTCTATGCGTTTCCTTCAGCAACTTGATGCTGGTAAACGACTTTTCCATGAAAATACTGCAAAAAGAAATCGCATGATACGAAAAGAAGGTAACGTTAACATTGTCAACAAGCAGTTTTTTTCTTAATTCCTATTACAGTTATTTAAAGTTCAAATAAATGTTTTTTTTTATTATGATATTAGTAATGGAAGACAGTGAAACCGTTATCAAGATATTTTAATTCACTTATAATTTCAGATAAAATTTAGAATGGAAATAGGGAATGTGTCAAAGAGACAACAACCCGATCAAAGTCAAAGAGCAGACAACAGCCGAAGGTTACCAATGGATCTTCAATGCAGCGAGAAACTCCCACATCCGGAGGCTTGCTTCAGCTGGCCCCTTAACAAACATGTATACTAGTTCAGTGATAATGGACTCCATACTAAAATCAGAAATATACACAAGAAATTAAAATTAAAAATCATACAACACTAACAAAGGCCAGGGGCTCCTGACTTTGAACCCCAGAGAACCCAGAGAATATGAACATTAATTATCACAGCATCAATGAAAATGGACAAAGCTAATACATAAATATTTTAGACATGAAGTTTTTTTGCTACATTGTATTTGTCAACATAAGCAATATTATACCTATTTCTATTTGTATTTGTGTCTGTTTCTGTTTCAACTTGATTCCAACCTTTGGCAGTGGCTAATACTAGAAGAGGCAAGGCATACATTTACATGTACAATACATGATTCTCTGTAGCACCTGGATTATCCACAATAATTCCATAACAGCAATGAAACTCTAGACTACTATGTACATGTATATCTACATATATGATCAATGTTGAAGATTTTTATGCCAGGTCTCATCATGTCGACTAGTCCGACAAGTTTTGGTTCAGTTTTCTGACAGGAATAATTATAAACTTGTCAGCAGTAACAACACATGAATATTAGTTATTATTAATTGGGCCTATCGGTCTAGCAATTTTTATACGCCCGTCAAATTTTGGACGGGACGTATTATGTTATACAAATGTCCGGCGTCCATCCGTCTGTCTGTCCGTCTGTCTGTCCGGCGTAAACATGTCGCACCGTAACTTGAGAAAGACTTATCCAAATTTCATGAAACTTAACATAGTTGTTTCTTATGATAGTCAAACGATCTGTATACTTTTTGGTGAAAATAAGATTAAAACTTTTTGAGTTACGGGACTTAGTAACTAAAACAGGTGTGTGTTTTTTTTCACATGTCGCGCCGTATCTCAAAAACTATTTATGATTATTGCTTAAAACTTTACACACTTCTTAGTTATATTAATCTTAAGATCTGTATACTTTTTGGTGATGATTCAAAATTTATTTTTGAGTAATTGAGTATTTTGTTAAAAAAGGGGGAGGGGTTTTTCACATGTCGCGCTGTATCTCAAAAACAGTTTATGATTATTGCTTAAAACTTTACACACTTCTTAGTTATATTAACCTTAAGATCTGTATACTTTTTGGTGATGATTCAAAATTTTATTTTTGAGTTATTGAGTATTTTGTAAAAAAAAGGGGGAGGGGTTTTTCACATGTCACGCCATATCTCAAAAATGATTTATGATTATTGCTTAAAATTTTATAACACTTCTTAGTTATATTAATCTAAAGATCTGTATACATTTTGGTTTTGATTCAAAAATTTTTTTTTGAGATATTGATTTTTTTTTTTTAAAAGGGGTGTTTTCGCATGTCGCACCGTATCTCAAAAACGATTTATGATTATTGCTTAAAATTTTACACACTTCTTAGTTATATTAATCTAAAGATCTGTATACTTTTTGGTTTTGATTCAAAATTTTATTTTAGAGATATTGAGTTTTTTGTAAAAAAAAAGGGGGGGTTTTCGCATGTCACGCTGTATGTCAGAAACTATTTATGCTTATTGCATAAAAATTCACACACAAGACGACGGGCGTATCATGCGCTCATGGCGCAGCTGTTTATTATTATTGTGCACTAAGAAGTATGCCTAGTAATCCAAAACTTATTGCATGAAGTTATATAAAGATAGTGGAATTCATGATATTGATGCATTGTGCAGAAACATGAAATATTTTAGTTTGTATTCTTAACAATCCAAGAGTAAGGTTAAATTGTACCAAGGAGAATTACGTATTACAATAATTACGCAGCAGTATTTTGATTGTGGATTCTTTTCAATTTTATTATTTACTGAATGCATATTTGTCACTTGTTTAATGCCTTGTTCAAACGTAAGTTTAATTTGAATTGAATGTGAACCAAGTTCACACAATATTCTTTTTTTCATTTTGAATTGAATTCAAATCTAATGGGAATGGAATTCGCTAATCGCGTTCACACACTCTTCTTTTTAGCTCACCTGGCCCAAAGGGCCAGGTGAGCTTTTCTCATCACTTGGCATCCGTCGTCCATCGTCCGTAAACTTTTACAAAAATCTTCTCCTCTGAAACTACTGAACCAAATTTGACCAAACTTGGCCACAATCATCATTGGGGTATATAGTTTAAAAAATGTGTCCGGTGACCCGGCCAACCAACCAAGATGGCCTCCATGGCTAATCTGACATGGAGTAAAATTGTTAATCAGGTCAAGATCTATCTGCCCTGAAATTTTCAGATGAATCTGACAACCCGTTGTTGGGTTACTGCCCCTGAATTGGTAATTTTAAGGAAATTTTGCCGTTTTTTGTTATCTTAAATATTATTATAGATAGAGATAAACTGTAAACAGCAATAATGTTCAGCAAAGTAAGATCTACAAATAAGTCAACTTGACCAAAATGGTCAGTTGACCCCTTAAGGAGTTATTGCCCTTATAGTCAATTTTTAACCATTTTTTCGTAAATTTTTGTAATCTTTTACAAAAATCTTCTCCTCTGAAACTACTAAGACAAATTTAACCAAATTTGTCCACAATCATCATTAGGGTGTCTAGTTTAAAAAATGTGTCCGATGACCCTGCCCGTGAACCAAGATGACCGACATGGCTAAAAAATAGTACATAGGGTAAAATGTAGATTTTGTCTCATATCTCTGAAACCAAAGCATTAAGAGCAAATCTGACAATTATTAAATTGTTCATTAGGTCAAGATCTATCTGCCCTGAAATTTTCAGACCAATCAGGCAACACGTTGTTGGGTTGCTGCCCCTGAATTGGTAATTTTAAGGAAATTTTGCAACTTTTGGTTATTATCTTGAATATTATTATAGATAGAGATAAACTGCAAACAGCAATAATGTACAGCAAAGTAAGATCTACAAATAAGTCAACATGACCAAAATTGTCAATTGACCCCTTAAGGAGTTATTGCCCTTTATAGTCAATTTTTTATACGCCCGTTTACGCAACGTATTATGGTATACCGTTGTCCGTCTGTCCATCCGTCGTCAACATGTCAGACATTAACTCAAATACGCTTTAACCAATTTGCATAAAACTTTGGTGAATTGTTTATATCTATTGACGTGAGCTCCCTTTCGTTTTTTATAAATTTTAGATTTTACATTTCCGAGTTATGGGGTTTTATTCATTAAAAAAAGGGGGATTTTCCAGTTTTCGGACAATAACTCAAGAATGCTTTCACCAACTTGCAAGAAATTGTGGTGAATTGTTTATATCTATTGACATGAGCTCCCTTTTGAGTTTTATATATTTTAGATTTCACGTTTCCGAGTTGTAGGGTTTTATTCATAAAAAAAGGGGGATTTCCCAGTTTTTGGACAAAAAATCAAAAATGCTTTCAGCAGTTCTTATTAAACTTTGGTGAATTGTTTATATCTATTGATGTAAGCTCCGTTTAGAATTTTATAAATTTTACATTTTACATTTCTGAGTTATGGGGTTTTATTCATTATAAAAGGGGGGATTTTCCAGTTTTCGGACAATAACTCAAAAATGCTGTCAGTAATTCTCGTGAAACTTTGGTGAATTGTTTATATCTATTGATGTAAGCTCCCTTTACATTTTCATAAATTTCTAATATGACATTGAGAATTAATTGAACTTTAATTGTTTATAGTCTGACAACAGATTTACTAGGTATTGCGCAACAGCACAGTGTATTGCACAACAGCAAGAAATCTTCAATTGAATATAAATTCAATTCATATAACCAATTTCAAGTTCTTTGACTACATTTATTCAGAAGCCTATTATATGTCAAATATTTAATACAATCCAAATTCAGACCTGTATCAAGCTTGAATATTGTGTCCATTTTTGCCCCAACTGTTCAGGGTTGGACCTCTGCGGGTGTATCCAGCTGCGCTCAGCGAAGCAGTTTATTAGAATTTTCATAAATTTTGTAAATTTTTGTAAATTTTTACAAAATATTTTCCACTGTAACTACTGGGCCAAGTTCATTATAGATAGAGATAATTGTAAGCAGCAAGAATGTTCAGTAAAGTAAGATCTACAAACACATCACCATCACCAAAACACAATTTTGTCATGAATCCATCTGTGTCCTTTGTTTAATATGCACATAGACCAAGGTGAGCGACACAGGCTCTTTAGAGCCTCTAGTTTTAATTCGAATCTAATTCAAATTGGCTAATTAGCATTATCCAAATCTCATTAGAAATACCTTTTTGAGTTAATTCGATTAAACTTTGGTGTGAACACTTTCTAAATTGTAATTCAAATTAAACTATAATAGATTAATTGATAAATTGAATTAAAAGTTAACGTCATTTGGACAGTAAAGCGATTTTGACGCGTATTGCAATTTGAAGTACAATTTACATTTGGACATTAATAAAATTGAGAATGGAAATGGGGAATGTGTCAAAGAGACAACAACCCGACCATAGAGCAGACAACAGCCGAAGGCCACCAATGGGTCTTCAATGCAGCGAGAAACTCCCGCACCCGGAGGCGTCCTTCAGCTGGCCCCTAAACAAATATGTATACTAGTTAAGTGATAATGGACGTCATACTAAACTCCAAATTATACACAAGAAACTAAAATTAAAAATGATACAAGACTAACAAAGGCCAGAGGCTCCTGACTTGGGACAGGCGCAAAAACGCAGCGGGGTTAAACATGTTTTTTGAGATCTCAACCCTCCCCCTATACCTCTAGCAAATGTAGAAAAAACAAACGCACAACAGTACGCACAGTAAAACTCAGTTAAACATGTTAAACTTTTCGAATGGGTATTAAACTATAAATTCAAATCAGTTAATGCGAATCGAATTCGAATTAAGTGTGAACACAGCATTAATATATCTAAGAAATGAGGAATATAAAATTATTAAAAAAAGATGGCCAAATATTTGTATTAATTTTGTTGCAATTTTTGTCTTGCCTTGACAGAGTCGAAAAGAGAGACATCTATATATATATATAGGCATGCTGTTTTGGTGGCATCAACAATGTATTAGCTTGAGATTTTGTGATAAGGTCTAGGTTATGGTAGGTCAATGATATTTGGTAAGCAGTTGTGTAAGCATAGGCACATTTCATTACCATGGAGAATATTTGGCCCCACCCCCTTAGTCATGGTCTATTGACCTCGAAACGTTGCATAGTTTACATATGTATAAGTTTGTGATTAGGTCATTTTAGGGGGAACCAATAGTATTAGGTCAATGCTATTTGGTGTGCAGTTGTATAAACTTTGTCATTTCTAATTTCCATTTAGATTATTTGGCCCCCCCCCCCCCCCCCCCCTCAATCATGCTCTTTTTACTTGGAACCTTATGTTACTTTGAAAATTCATTTATTAGCTTTTGATTAGGTTAGTTTTAGGGAAACCAATAATGGTAGGTCAATGATAATTGGCATGCAGGTGTAGAAGCATTAGTATGTCTCATTTTCATAGCGGATATTTGGTCCTTACCCCTCAGTCATATACATGATCTATTGACTTTGAAACTTTTACTTAGTTTACATAAATTAGTTTGTGATTATTATGATGATGTCAGTTTAATATTACCAGTAATCTTAAGTCAAAGCTATTTGGTATGCAAACGTATTGGTATTTAAAAGGTTCATTTCCATGGATATTATTTAACCCCACCTCCTCATTATGGTTCATTGACTTAGAAATTAAATTTGTGTTAAGGTTTGTTTAAAGGGAACGACTTATGAAAAGTCAATGGTATTTGGTAAGCAGTTGTATAAACATTGGCACATCTCATTTCCATGGAGATTGTTCAGCCCTGTACCATCAGTCATGGTTCATTGTCTTTGAATATATTTTGCATGTTAAAGTATTCCTTTTTTAATTGTAACATTTGCATTATCAAAATAACAAATAGGCAAAACATGTCTCTGTGTGAACAGCTTATTATAGATTAGACATGTACAATTATTATAAAAATAAGAAGATGTGGAATGATTGCCAATGAGACAACTATCCACAAAAATTCAAATTAAGTGGATGTAAGCAATTATAGGCAACCGTACAGCCTTCCAAAACATATGTTGCATCATTGCTAGGCCATTTTAACAACATAAGCATGTATTGTAATATAATATACAAGAAAATTACACCACTTCAGATAGTTTCAGGTATGATTTGATATTTGTGCATAGTACTAGTGGCACCAGCTGATCCAACTAAAACCGCTAATATGGCATATTCAAACTCTAGTACATAGTGGAGTTAAACCATATATACAATGTACACCACTGTTGGGACACCATTATCGAAATTATTATTCTGATAAGAATATTCCTCCATGCAGCCTGCAACAATTAGCAAAACCTATACTGCATAGTAAGCTATAAACGACCATGAATTGACAAATGTAAAACAATAAAACTGAAGCATCCTGATTTATGTACAAAACAATTATGAAAAATAAATATGATATACAGCAACAATCACCAAATTAGTGGGTCCTCACTATGGACAGGTACATGCAGAATGTGGCGGCTTAAACATGTTAGCTGACACAAAACTCTCCCCTAACATGGGACAGTGTATGTGCATAATCTCAGACATTGAATCTTTAAAAATTTAAATTGGAAATAACTGTTGAAAGTGGTAGGATTGGATAGCATACACATTTCTGTACAAACATTATTTGATAATTCAGAAATATCTCAGAATAATGCCTGAGATAAATATTTCCACTAATTCTTCCACAATATTCATCTGAACTTCTGCCAAGTTTGCCTTTGGTTTTTTAATTAACTGCCTATAGCGCCCTTGGTGCTTTGATTATTATTGCGAATAATGCGACTGGGTGAAAATCGCAAAAATAAGAAATCGCATTCTGATATCTGATACATATATTTGTAGGCAGATTTTCCTGAAATCGTAATAATAAAACTCGCATTTTTGTCCTTCCTTAAAAAATTGCAATAATAAATTGTCGGGTAATGCAAGTGTTTAAAAGACAAATTCAAAGTTATTTTAGAGTCTCATAAACATGATATATGTAAGTAAATATGGAATAGATGATATTAAATGTTACTTTTACTTTCAGGCCACAGTATGGAGGAAAGAAGTGCCTGGGGAAGTCAGAAATATACAAGCTTTGTAATCTACAGGTATAATACACTCCTTTTGATGATTTTTATAGGTTCATTTTACAAGACAGATATATTTAAATATTTCCAGATATATGATTTTTTTCTATAAATTGAATTAGAAAAACACATGGCGTAGGCTTGTTGAATTGAAAACCAAAATTATTCATGATTTGCAGTGTCAAAGTGACATTTTATAATCTCCCTAGAAAATTAAATTTGATAAACATAAACCTATGTCATTAATACCTGTGCATGTAATATGAATGAAAACAGACATGCACATTAGAAAATGAATGAAAAAAAGTGAGAGAAAAACAACAGCAAAAACCATTGGAAATGCATATTGCAGATCAGGCAGGAGAAATGTGTGGTATTTTAATCGTTTCTTTCTGTACAGTTTTTGATACTCTTTACTCTTATTTATATTCTGTTTGCACTTAATTTGACAGTAATTTTATTCATATACACCATCAAGCAAAGAAGTAATTCAAATTGGTTGATGTTACCTACCTACCCACCTAAAAAGGAGCCTACTCTAAAAATTGTATGACACAAATTGTTTCAATTTTCTTTTAAAGATTATTTCCTGCTCTAATGTTGTTTTCTTGTCTAAAGCATGTAACTTATGTTGTTGGCCCCAAAAAAATAATAAAATCCCTACCTACCTACCCAACCCTACAAGGCATGGGTAGGAAACATTAACAATGATTTTTTTAAGGGTGGCCTCAGTATGTTTAAGATCTGGATGAGCATGCATGTCTAGTACTAAGCAGGGTTAATATTCATATACAACATTAATATATTCTCGTCATGATATGCATGCAATATTTGCCTATAGATGTTGAATACCAATTCATCATCATTGCTTTCAATGGTAACCTTATAATTTTATTTTATTATTTTCATAGGAATGTCCATATGGCAGCAAAGATTTCAGAGAAGAGCAATGTAGCTACTTTAATAAACATAGATTTAGAGGATTTATGTATAAATGGATGCCTTATAAAAGGATATATGATGGTAAGATATTTAATAAACATAAATTTAGAGGATTTATGTATAAATGGATGCCTTATAAAAGGATGTATGATGGTAAGGTATTTAATTAACGTTGTTAATATGAGGTAGTACAAAAGAGGCGAAAGATATCAAAGGGTAAACAAACTGACAACGCCATGGCAAAAAAAGAAAAAGACCAACAGACAAAAAACAGTTCATAAAACACAACATAGAAAACTAAAGACTGTGCAACATGAATGCCAGCAAAAACTGGGGGTGATCTCAGGTGCTACGGAAGGGTAAGCAAATCCTGTTCCACATGTGGCACCCGTTGTGTTGCTTGTGTTAATACAAACCCGGTGATAAGTTTAATTCGGTAGGTCAGATTTGTTGAAAAGGGGATGGGATTGTAGTTACGACGATTGGAACATATCTATTGTCATCTGTGAAACGGATATTCCATAACGGTCAACCAACTCTTGATGGTGTCCGTAAAATTTACGAAGTGATGATTTCAACTTCACCACTTGGAACACTTGGTTTAATATCTTCCTTGTGAGCAATATATAGAGAAAGTCTCATAAATGCTGGAGTCGGTAATTGTAAGAAGTTCAATTTCTATTGTCTTTTTTATTAGAACCTATTTTAGTTGACTGAATTGTCTGTTCTTGTTTACTCTGCTCAAGTAGTAAATCTTAACTTTGGTTAGCTTGAACTATGTCTAAGAACTAGAATTAATTCTATACTGCATTTCAGTAGGGTTTACTATATAGGCCTGTAGTGGTTTTGCTCATTGCTGAAAACCATAGAGTGAATTAAAGTTGCTTAAATCCACATTAATTGGACTCTGGTGGATAGATTTAAAATATTTAAAAATTTTAACAAGGGGAAATAACTCATTATTGATGGGTAATAATTTGTTTGTAGAACATGACCAGTGTAAGTTGTACTGTCAAGCTGATGGATTTAACTTCTATTATGCCTTGTCTAAACAAGTAGATGATGGGACCAGATGTAATGGCTACAGTGATAATATCTGTGTACAAGGGAAATGTAAGGTTGGTGTATTATCTGTGTACTAGGGAAATGTAAGGTTGGTGTATATATAATCTGTGTACAAGAGAAATGTAAGGTTGGTGTATTATCTGTGTACAAGGGAAATGTAAGGTTGGTGCATTATCTGTGTACAAGGGAAATGTAAGGTTGGTGTATTATCTGTGTACAAGGGAAATGTAAGGTTGGTGTAATATCTGTGTACAAGGGAAATGTAAGATTGGTGTATTATCTGTGTACTAGGGAAATATAAGGTTTGTGTATTATCTGTGTACTAGGGAAATGTAAGGTTGGTGTATTATCTGTGTACAAGGGAAATGTAAGGTTGGTGTATTATCTGTGTACTAGGGAAATGTAAGGTTGGTGTATTATCTGTGTACTAGGGAAATGTAAGGTTGGTGTATTATCTGTGTACAAGGGAAATGTAAGGTTGGTGTATTATCTGTGTACAAGGGAAATGTTAGGTTGGTGTTTTATCTGGGTATAAGGGAAATGTAAGGTTGGTGTATTATCTGTGTACAAGGGACATGTAAGGTTGGTGTATTATCTGTGTACTAGGGAAATGTAAGGTTGGTGTATTATCTGTGTGCAAGGGAAATGTAAGGTTGGTGTATATATAATCTGTGTACAAGGCAAATGTAAGGTTGGTGTATTATCTGTGTACTAGGGAAATATAAGGTTGGTGTATTATCTGTGTACATGTGCTTAAGGGAAATGTAAGGTTGGTGTATTATCTGTGTACAAGGGAAATGTAAGGTTGGTGTATATATAATCTGTGTACAAGGCAAATGTAAGGTTGGTGTATTATCTGTGTACTAGGGAAATGTAAGGTTGGTGTATTATCTGTGTACATGTGCTTAAGGGAAATGTAAGGTTGGTGTATTATCTGTGTACAAGGGAAATGTAAGGTTGGTGTATTATCTGTGTACAAGGGAAATGTTAGGTTGGTGTTTTATCTGGGTATAAGGGAAATGTAAGGTTGGTGTATTATCTGTGTACAAGGGACATGTAAGGTTGGTGTATTATCTGTGTACTAGGGAAATGTAAGGTTGGTGTATTATCTGTGTACAAGGGAAATGTAAGGTTGGTGTATTATCTGTGTACAAGGGAAATGTTAGGTTGGTGTTTTATCTGGGTATAAGGGAAATGTAAGGTTGGTGTATTATCTGTGTACAAGGGACATGTAAGGTTGGTGTATTATCTGTGTACTAGGGAAATGTAAGGTTGGTGTATTATCTGTGTACTAGGGAAATGTAAGGTTGGTGTATATATAATCTGTGTACTAGGGAAATGTAAGGTTGGTGTATATATAATCTGTGTACAAGGCAAATGTAAGGTTGGTGTATTATCTGTGTACTAGGGAATTGTAAGGTTGGTGTATTATCTGTGTACATGTGCTTAAGGGAAATGTAAGGTTGGTGTATTATCTGTGTACAAGGGAAATGTAAGGTTGGTGTATATATAATCTGTGTACAAGGCAAATGTAAGGTTGGTGTATTATCTGTGTACTAGGGAAATGTAAGGTTGGTGTATTATCTGTGTACATGTGCTTAAGGGAAATGTAAGGTTGGTGTATTATCTGTGTACAAGGGAAATGTAAGGTTGGTGTATTATCTGTGTACAAGGGAAATGTAAGATTGGTGTATTATCTGTGTACTAGGGAAATGTAAGGTTGGTGTATTATCTGTGTACTAGGGAAATGTAAGGTTGGTGTATTATCTGTGTACATGTGCTTAAGGGAAATGTAAGGTTGGTGTATTATCTGTGTACTAGGGAAATGTAAGGTTGGTGTATTATCTGTGTACTAGGGAAATGTAAGGTTGGTGTATTATCTGTGTACATGTGCTTAAGGGAAATGTAAGGTTGGTGTATTATCTGTGTACATGTGCTTAAGGGAAATGTAAGGTTGGTGTATTATCTGTGTACTAGGGAAATGTAAGGTTGGTGTATTATCTGTGTACAAGGGAAGTGTAAGGTTGGTATATTATCTGTGTACATGTACTAGGGAAATGTAAGGTTGGTGTATTATCTGTGTACAAGGGAAATGTAAGGTTGGTGTATTATCTGTGTACTAGGGAAATGTAAGGTTGGTGTATATATTATCTGTGTACAAGGGAAATGTAAGGTTGGTGTATTATCTGTGAACTAGGGAAATGTAAGGTTGGTTTATTATCTGTGTACTAGGGAAATGTAAGGTTGGTGTATTATCTGTGTACATGTGCTTAAGGGAAATGTAAGGTTGGTGTATTATCTGTGTACTAGGGAAATGTAAGGTTGGTGTATTATCTGTGTACTAGGGAAATGTAAGGTTGGTGTATTATCTGTGTACATGTGCTTAAGGGAAATGTAAGGTTGGTGTATTATCTGTGTACTAGGGAAATGTAAGGTTGGTGTATTATCTGTGTACAAGGGAAGTGTAAGGTTGGTATATTATCTGTGTACATGTACTAGGGAAATGTAAGGTTGGTGTATTATCTGTGTACAAGGGAAATGTAAGGTTGGTGTATTATCTGTGTACTAGGGAAATGTAAGGTTGGTGTATATATTATCTGTGTACAAGGGAAATGTAAGGTTGGTGTATTATCTGTAAACTAGGGAAATGTAAGGTTGGTTTATTATCTGTGTACAGGGGAAATGTAAGGGTGATGTTTTTATTTATAAATTTACTTGCAATAAATATGTGTTTGCTGCAAACAGTTTTGGAGAGGACAAAAATAATCTATTAACCCTGAGCTAGTAACAAGCAAACACTATAATTTTTTTTTCAAGGTTTTTCAGGAATTTTATATAGCTATAAATGCACAGTTCATATATCTTTTGTTATCTTTAGTTGTCACCATAAAATTTGCCTGCCTTAATGTGAAACTTGATGTAAGAAAGTTTTGATAAACAGATTGCTGGTTAGGCTACTGATAGCATATTTGATAGTTTGTTCAAATTTAAATGCAGTTATATCCCAACAGGGTTGGTGGTATACATACAAAATATGTAATAAAAATAATAAAAGTACAAGGCATAATATACATAATAAAGTAATCATGCAGTTGTTGAGTCCACTTTCCTCAATGATCAGGACTTTTTAATGAATGACTTATCTTTACGTCATTGTCATTGAGACCCTTATAATTCTATTGTATTTGCATAAGGTTTTAGATTGACAAGCTATAGGAAGAAGTAAACATCAAAATGCACTCTGTGGTGTAATTTCATGAAGAAATTTGCCTTGGCTGATGGTCAGAGGTGAATAATTAAACCCCCAATTAGAAGGGGCTATATTGCAATCAAGTGGTCTGTCTGTTCTTCCAACAAATATTTTCGTCACATTTGTCTAAGAAACTACTGAATAGAATTACTTCATATTTGTTTAGCAGCTTGACAATGATGAGTTGTAACCTGTGTGCACTTTTCAGATCTACCAGATAACTATTCCCTGTTAAAAGATACTTTGAATTACAAGAAGGGGTATGCTTAGCATAACAAGTGCATTCTTGTTCAAGCTTTTTTTTTCATTTGAGGTGGTTTTTAAAAATGCTCATCATTGGTATTTCTTTATTTCAGACCGTTGGTTGTGACCTGGTGGTTGATTCTACAGCAAGAAAGGATATTTGTGGTATATGTATGGGAGATGATTCTACATGTCGTAAAGTAAACGGAAGATTTGACAAACAGCCTCCTACAAACAGTAAGTCTCAATAGTTGGTGCATGTTTCCTGGTTAAGTAATATCTTAATACCAATATTTGTATTGTATAAAAGGAAAGAATCCAAATGGTTATTTGCTTGCTTCTCTGCTAAACAAGCAGCATTTAGGAATAAGAGTAAAGCCTGGTTAGCTCAGAGTCAGAATAGTGTGTCTGTGTCTTACTGTTCCTTTTAAACTTGTGGACAAGCACATCAAAAATCTGGCTCAGCATGTTGGTCTAGTACAAAGGAGAGTTTCATATTCATATCACATCACCATGTTCCTGTCCTAAAATCACTTTTTATTTAGCAACTGGTCATTTAACTTTAATCAATCCATCTATCCATCCCAGTCATACTTTCTTAAAAATCAATTAATTAAATCATCTCTATCAAGTAGTAACTGTTGTTTGTCTGTCTGAGGTGGGACATACACTGCCAAATTTTGCTCCTGATTTGACTGTGAAATCATTTATAACAATTATTTTTTAGCTTATTTTCCTATAATGGTCCTACCCAGAGGAGCTAGAACTATACAGATTGCTGAAGAAGCCTTGTCACGTAATTATCTAGCTGTCAGGGACATATATGGGAAGTACTTCCTGAATGGGAATTGGCATCTGAACTCTAATGGAGCTTACTCCATTGCTGGAGCTAAGTTTATATACAAGAGAAGTTATATAGAACCTGAAATTCTTACATCAGATGGACCATTGTTAGAAGATGTAGTGTTAGAGGTATGAGTTAATGTAGAATTAGAGGAATGAGTTAAATTAAATGAAGCTGGAGGAAAATTTTACGATTGTTTTGAATTTAAAAATGAAAAAATACTATATTTTATTAATTACTTTAGTCTTAAGGGTATTCTAGGAAAAAGTGCATGGGAGAGTTGAACACCATGATATTATTTTCTGTTGGTAATTGGGGTTAAAGCAAATACAATTCTGTTACAAATGAAAAAAAATATTGGGGTTTATAAAAAAAAGTTTTGTCCTCCCTTCCACTATTACTGAAATAGCCCTTAATCAAACTGATTATCATCAAAATACAATAAGGAACCTCAAATTGTTTTTACTAATTTGTTAATGCATGGCATGTATTTAAGATCAACAAATTTGAGGAAAAAAATTAAGTAAAATTTTCAATCTGATTTTGTAGATTCTTACACAAGGCAAGAACCCAGGAGTAACTTATCAATATACATTACCAAAAACAGACGACAGACCAAGGAGATATAACTTTACATGGACAGTCAAATTATCTACTTGTAGTGAGCAGTGTGCTGGAGGTAGGGAGTTCTTACTTAGATAGAGTGATTGGATATATAAACCATCAAGCATAAATTGTTTCTTTTATATTAGGAAGATTTGTTTTCATATTGATGCATCTAGCTACCAGAAAAGGGATCAACTGAAATAAAAGGTATTGTGGCCTTTAATTGTATGCAGTAGAGAAACTTTTGCCTTTCAATCAGATTATGATATACCACTATAAAGACCACAAGATATACACAAGTGACATTAGCATCAAGATCCTAAATTTTATTTAAATATGTTTCAGGTATACAGAAATCTTCAGCCCACTGTTACCGTGGTGATGGAGAAGAAGTGAACCCACATGTGTGTGATCAGACTTCTCGTCCTAGAACTGGTATCTCATCCTGTCATACTAGACCTTGTCAGCCAGGGTACAGTCAATCACTTAAATGCTTAAGTCTTGTGTAAAAACACTTTAAAAATTCGAAAAGTATTTTCAGGAGCTTTTGATTTAATGTTTTTTTTTTTTTTAAATAAACTTGTTGAAAGGTATACAGCTCTATATATAGCTAGGTATTGCAGCCAATGAAAGTTCAGTAAATTTTATTTTCTATTCTTCTCACTGTTGGGCAGGAATTTTGAGTAATTAGTAAGAAAAAGAAGTTCAACTTATCTGCAAGTATTAGTTGCCTATTAAATTGTTCCCATTGCAATTATACAGCAATAAAATTTAGAAGTGAAGACGAGGAAGGGTGCAACTCCAACAATCAAACCATTCAAATTCATGATTTGAATTATTTTTTTCAACTGCTTAAGCAGTGTGAAAATGTCCTTAACTATGGCAGAAACTGAATACATTCTAGTTTATATGTTACTTTGAATGTATCTCAGTATATAAACAAAACAACAAAGAAGAAATTTGCACACCACATGTATATGATTAAACATTTAGGCTTTCAAAGAATAACGTAGGTTGAAACAGATCATAATACCAGTCAGCTGTATCGTGTATTAGCTCAAAGTCAGCAGTAATAGACGAGGATTATCTGATATTGTAACATAAAATAATGTCATCCATGAGATATTATCTGTCGGACAAAATTTCATATAAAATATTGTCCTTGCCCATGAAATTCTGTCACCTCCTTCTGGACAATATTTCACTATGAAATTCTGTCGATGACAATATTTCCCTGTGAAATTCTGTCCATGACAATATTTCAGTGTGAAAGTCTGTCCATGACAATATTTCCCTGGGAAAGTCTGTCCATGACAATATTTCCCTGTGAAAGTCTGTCCATGACAATATTTCCCTGTGAAAGTCTGTCCATGACAATATTTCACTGTGAAATACTGTCCATGAAAATATTTCTTAATCTGATTATGTCTTCCCTGACATTTTCCGAGGAATCCGCTGCGATGAAATTGTGAACGTTTCTGGAATTTTTTAAATATTTTTCATGAAAAGTATGTGTATAACCATAAATTGCTGCATTAATTGATTATGGAGGTTTGTTTGTTATTATCAATCAAATAAAACACTTTGATGATATCATTATAAATCCAAATATATATATTTATAACCTCCTTTTCATGAGACAAAATTTCATGACAATTCATCTATGAAATATTGTCTCAATATACAAAATACATAACCTTGGATAACCTCCCTTTAACTAGACAAAATTTCATAATATTCATGTATGAAATATTATCTGCATATGGACAAAATTTCATATGAAAATTTGTTCTTCTCTGGACATTATTTCATAGATAGGGACAAAATTTCATGGTAAAAAGTCATTACAATAATATTAATTCAGGCAGACTTGGTGATAACATTCCGTATGTAACCTAACAGGATAGGAAATTGTAAAATCATTGGATAAGATAAGATGGAAGTAATATCCTGAGGAAAATTAAATAATTAAAATTTTGAACTTGACTTAATGTTTTGTTATTTTTACAGCTGGTATTCTGGTCCTTGGACGGAGTGCACCAGAACTTGTGGAGGTGGTAAACAGAAAAGACGTGTCTACTGTAGCCAGAAAATATCTCTCACTAAAGAAAGGCGAGTGAGACGTAATCGATGTAGTCATCTAAAAAAACCAGCAAGAAAAATACCATGTAACACTCAGGAATGTCCCCCATCATGGCATGCCAAGGGATGGTCAGAGGTAATTATTTGCAGTGTACGAAAGGTGCGATCTTCTAAAATAATGTTACAGAATATCAATTAGCTGTTATACTTTTTAGCTCACCTGGCCCGAAGGAAATACATACAAATGTCTTCTTTTAGAGAACCACTGAATGGAATGAAACCAAACATTGCATGAATGTTCCTTATGAGGTGCTGACCAAGTGTTGGTACTTTGTAGCGGATCCGTCATCCAAGATGGCCGCCAGCGGGGGACTTAGTTTAACATAGGACCCTATGGGAAATACATACAAATGTCTTCTTTTAGAGAACCACTGAATGGAATGAAACCAAACATGGCATGATTGTTTTTTATGAGGTGCTGACCGAATGTTGTTACTTTGAAGCCGATCCATAATCCAAGATGTCCGCCAGCAGGGGACTTAGTTTAACATAGGACCCTATGGGAAATACATACAAATGTCTTCTTTTAGAGAACCACTGAATGGAATGAAACCAAACATGGCATGAATATTCCTTATGAGGTGCTGACCGAGTGTTGTTACTTTGAAGCCGATCCATAATCCAAGATGGCCACCAGCGGGGGACTTAGTTTAACATGGGACCCTATTGGAAATACATACAAATGTCTTCTTTTAGAAAACCACTGAATGGAATGAAACCAAACATGGCATGAATGTTTCTTATGAGGTGCTGACCGAGTGTTGTTACTTTGAAGCCGATCCATAATCCAAGATGGCCGCCAGCGGGGGACTTAGTTAACATGGGACCCTATGGGAAATACATACAAATGTCTTCTTTTATAGAACCACTAAATGGAATGAAACCAAACATGGCATGAATGTTCCTTATGAGGTGCTGACCAAGTGTTGTTACTATGAAGCTGATCCATAATCCAAGATGGCCACCAGCAGGGGACTTAGTTTAACATTGGACCCTATGGGAAATACATACAAATGTCTTCTTTTAGAGAACCACTAAATGGAATGAAACCAAACATGGCATGAATGTTTCTTATGAGGTGCTGACCGAGTGTTGTTACTTTGAAGCTGATCCATAATCCAAGATGGCCGCCAGCAGGGGACTTAGTTTAACATTGGACCCTAAGGGAAATACATACAAATGTCTTCTTTTAGAGAACCACTGAATGGAATGAAACCAAACATGGCATGAATGTTCCTTATGAGGTGCTGACCAAGTGTTGTTACTATGAAGCTGATCCATAATCCAAGATGGCCGCCAGCAGGGGACTTTGTTTAACATAGGACCCTATGGGAAATACATACAAATGTCATCTTTTAGAGAACCACTGAATGGAATGAAACCAAACATGGCATGAATGTTCCTTATGAGGTGCTGACCAAGTGTTGTTACTTTGAAGCCGATCCATAATCCAAGATGGCCGCCAGCGGGGGACTTAGTTTAACATAGGACCCTATGGGAAATACATACAAATGTCTTCTTTTAGAGAACCACTGAATGGAATGAAACCAAACATGGCATGAATGTTCCTTATGAGGTGCTGACTGAGTGTTGTTACTATGAAGCCGATCCATAATCTAAGATGGCCGCCAGCAGAGGACTTAGTTTAACATAGGACCCTAAGAGAAATAGGTACAAATGTTTTTTTTTAGAGAACCATTGAATGGAATGAAACCAAACATGGCATGCATGCTCCTTTCGAGGTGCTGACCAAGTGTTGTTACTTTGAAGCTGATCCTTCATCCATGATGGCTGCCAGATGGGGACAATGTTTAACAAAGGACCCTATGGACAATACATACAAATGTCTTCTTTTAGAGAACCACATACTGAATGGATTGAAACCAAACATGGCATGAATGTTCCTTATGAGGTGCTGACTAAGTTTTGTTACTTTGAAGCTGATCCTTCATCCATGATGGCCGCCAATGGGGGGACTTCCTTTAACATAAGACCCTATGGGAAATACATACAAATGCTTCTTCTAGAGGTGCACTGAATGGAATGAAACCAAAACATGGCATAAATGTTTCTTATGAGGTGCTGATTAAGTGTTGCTACTTTGTTGCCGATTTACTGTTCAAGATGGCCACCAGGATTTTTTATTAAATTACAGGACCAATATTAAACCAAATTTGGCCTCACTCATTATTAGGGTATCTGTTATGATTTTAATCTATTTTTACATGATTTCCAAAACCAAAGTAGAATCAGGTGAGCGACACAGGCTCTTGAGAGCCTCTAGTTATGTTTATATATGATAACAAAAAACATATTTCAATTCCTTCATACATTTATTTTTCCTTATTTTTTATTCCTCTTATTCCTTCTTAATTGACCTTTCTCCATGAAAATCAAATAAAATAATATTGCTAAAATTGCTAAAAAAAAGAAAAAAAATATTTCAACAGTTCTGTTACGTACCTTGTTTTGCTATAACATATTGGATGTTGAAATAACAGTCATAATGTTGTACAATTTACGCAAAACAATACACAATGCATTGGAGTTCAAAATGTAAGTCTGAATGGATCCTTCATTTATAGTGTACTGTAACTTGTGGATCTGGAAGAAAGGTTAGAGAGGTGACATGTCTCAGTCATACAACACGTGGATCTGTCTTATTACCAGATAGTATGTGCCATCACCAGCCTGCTATGGATAAGGTAACCCGTTGTCAGATGCCTACCTGTCCACCTATGATAACATACCAATGGAGTGTTTCTTCTTGGTCACAGGTATTTATAAATATCTGATAAAACATTTATCTAAAAATGTAATCGTGACATGGTATCTTTTCCTTCATTTCCTTTCAAAGTACAAGTAAATAAGATATTTGAATATAAACATTTAACCTAAAATACCTAGTTTCATAAAAGTGTTGTGGTTTGTATACCCTCATTTGATATACAAATTAATTGTAGAAAAATGAATGTAAAATAAACAGTTAAATAAATAAAACTCACAAATTTGTAAGTGGAAATCTCTTAGAAAGTTGGATTATCCCCCCTAGTCTGGTTATATTGGTGTAGGATCAAATAAGTAATAAGTAACAGTCCTACAGCTTAGCATATCTAGGACACTATCTTTCAAAATGAATATCAAGTTCAAATTTTGAAGAATTTACCTTTGTTTTTAGCTCACCGGGCCCAAAGGGCCCCATGTGAGCTTATGCCATCACTTGGCGTCCGTCGTCTGTCGTCGTCGTAAACTATTTCAAAAATCTTCTTCTCTGAAACTACTGGGCCAAATACCTTCAAACTTAAATCAAATGTTCCTTAGGGTATCTAGTTTATAAAATGTATCCGGAGTTTTGATCCATCGACAAACATGGCCGCCATGGCTAAAAATAGAACATAGGGGTCAAATGCAGTTTTTTGTTTATATCTCAAAAACTAAAGCTTTTAGAGCAAATCTGACATGGGGGTAATATTGTTCAATTGGTCAAGATCCATCAGCCCTGAAATTTTCAGACAAATCAAACAACCCATTGTTGGGTTGCTTCCACTAAATTGGTAGTTTTGAGGAAATTTTGCAGTTTTTTGTTATTATCTTGAATATTATTATAGATAGATATAAACTGTAAACAGTAATAATGTTCAGCAAAGTAAGATCTACAGAAAAGTTAAATGACCAAATTTGTCAATTGACCCCTTAAGGAGTTATTGCCCTTTAAAGACAATTTTATGCAATGTGTTCATCAAGTTTGCTAACATTTAAAAATCTTCTCTTCTGAAACTATTGTGCCTAATACTTTTTAACTTTGAATGAATGTTCCTTTAGGAATCTAGTTTATGAAATGTATCCGAAATTTTGATTCATCAACAAACATGGCCGCCATTGCTAAAAATAGAACAATGGGGTGAAATGCAGTTTTTGGCTTATATCTCAGAAACTAAAGCATTTAGAGCAAATCTGACATGGGGTAAATATGTTCAAAAGGTCAAGATCTATCAGCCCTGAAATTTTCAGACACACCGAACAACCCATTGTTGGGTTGCTGCCACTAAATTGGTTGTTTTAAGGAAATTTTGCAGTTTTTGGTTATTATCTTGAATATTCTTGAAGATAGATATAAACTGTAAACAGCAAAAATGTTCAGCAAAGTAAGATCTACAAAAAAGTTTATATGACCAAAATTGTCAACTGACCCCTTAAGGAGTTATTGCCCTTTAAGGACAATTTTACACAAGTTGTTTTATGTTTTTTAACTTTAAAAATCTTCTCAAATGAATCTAGTATAAATTTTGTATTTCATTTCCTTGTACGTCAAGAAACATAGACACTATGGCTAAAATGGAACATATGGGTAAAAAGCAAAAATAATCATTGATGAAAGATTTAAGCAAAAAAAATAACAGGTGAGCGATTCAGGCTCTTGAGAGCCTCTTGTTCATGAGTTATTGTCCTTAATGGTTCAATATGCAGCTTTTAAGTCATCTTTGTGGGATGATTTGAGAACCTTTCTTCAAATCCTTTTCAAATTTGAAATATGTTGAATATGTTGTTTCTGAAGACCAATTGTAGGTTAACCTAGATTTTAACCATTTTCACTCATGCTGTTTAGGATTTATGGTTTTTGATTGAATCAAACAATATCATTTTAGGTTGTTTCCCTGCAGTAACTTGAAAACCATTCAAACAATTTCGTACACATTTTAATGTTGTTTCTGAAGGCAAAATAAAAGTCAAAAGATGAATGTTTACAATTTTACACTCATGCTGTCAGAGTTATGGCACTTGGTTAATTTAACAATTGCACTAATTTATGTAACAAAGACAATTAAAAAACCCTGAACTCGAGTATCCTCAATACATTTTACATGTTAATGAAAATTTCCTCTTGAAAAGCTTAACAGTGGCGGATCCAGAAATTTTCATAAGTGGGGGCCCGCTCCAGTCATGCTTCAGTGATTCCCTATATAATCAACCAAATTTTTCCCACAAAAGGGGGGGCCTGCCCCCCCCCCCCCCCCCCCCCTAAATCTGCCTCTGCTTAAATAACTAGCAATCAATGGATTGAGTACCCCTGCAGTTCTTTTTCTAACTATTGATGTCATTGTTTTTCAATCAAAAATGAACTATGACATTGTCAATATATTATGTTGATTTTAAAGTTAATGGACACTCATGACTGTCGAGTGATATTGTTATGAAAAAAAGTTTTTAAGAAAGTAGAGGGTAAATGTCAATGATAGAGCCCAAAGGCACTCAATGCAAAAAAGGATGTGTTGAAATCATAATATTAAATATTGTCCTCGGTGGTAGACTAATGTCCAAATCAAATGAATTCAGCCTGAAATTACCTAGAATTTATATTGCATCTCTAAATCATTTACATATACAAATTATTCATATATTTTATATTGTAGTGCTCAACGACATGTGATTATGGTATTAGAAGAAGAGAACTGACATGCAATCGACAGATAGAAAACAATGAAGAAATCCAGACGGTTAGGCCCGAGTATTGTCAGAATATACCTCGACTCACTCAAAAACTGTCAGAAAGATGTATCATTCAGAAGTGTGCCAAAACAAAGCCATATTGGTACACATCACCTCTATCTCAGGTAAAACAAAGCCATATTGGTACACATCACCTCTATCTCAGGTAACATCACCTCTATCTCAGGTAACATCACCTCTATCTCAGGTATAATGTACCAAAACATTTGTTGTGTCTGTCCCCTCTCACAATCACACTATACTGTAATTAGTGATTCGCCCTATAGTGATCAGTCTGTCTGTCTGTCCGTAACAAATTGTGTCCGCTCTATATCTAGAGAACCGTTATAATTTCATACTTTATACTTGACATGTATATTAACCAACACCAGAGGGTGTGTCATAATGTTTGTACAACTTCCTAGGTCAAAGTTCAAGTTCAAAAACTATGGTTTTAGTAGATTACCCCATGTCCTATGGTAAAGATCGTGTCCACTCTATATCTTGAGAACTGTTATAATTTCAAAGTTTATACTTGACATGTAAATTAACCAACACCAGAGGGTGTGTCATAATGTATGTACAATTTCCTAGGTCAAAGGTCAAGGTCAAAAACTTTGCCAAATATAACACTTTAACTAAAAAACATAAAATAAAATCACTCTCAGCACATAACAAGACTATGTAATAACTTAAAAAAGGGCTTCATATCAGCTTATCCATACAAATTTTTTACCACACTTTATTTACAGCGGGGCCCACAGTGATGGCTCCCATCTCAATGATGTCTTAGTTAAACAGGTTAAATAAGGCTCTGTTTACACTTGCAAGAAATTGTACTTATAGATTAACGTTGGTCATCTCAAGGAGATTGATTTTCTCGCTTGAGCCGGTACGGCGAAAGTGAGAAAAGCAATCAAGTTGCGATGACCAATGATAATCTGTTTATCCCTATTTTGCCTATGACGACGTTGATGTTTACATTGACAAAGGCACGTGCGCCCTTAGTTTCTAGCAATAATTTTTCATATCACGCTACTCTACTGTGCTGAGAAAGGATATTATCAGTCGGTAAGATCAAAGGAAAATTTCGTAAAATAGCGATAATAATTTTTATTTGAATCAATCTTAAAAAGACCAGTTAGGGATAACATTCACACAAGCAAGATCGATCTCGATCGATCTTTTAAAATCTAGTATGTTTACTCTGCAATATAGATAGAATCGGTCTAACCTAATTACCTTACATTTGTTTAACAAAAAATCTTAGAAATAGAATATGATATCATGTGCATTTCTGGAAATAGTTTGGTCATTGGAATGCAGTGTTTAATTATCTTATTGATTCACATGTCATAAGTCATTTAACAATCAAGTTTGAGAAGACTATCACTTATAAGGGAAAGGTTATTTCTTTTGAAGATGAGGAATTAATATGATTTATTTATTTAGAAGAAAGATGCAAAAACAACAGTAAATTGTTTCTCTAATTTTTTCGCTATTTTCACATTTCCCATTCGATTGTGAAAAATTGTTCTCCTCTCAAGTGAAATAACTGTTCTCGGCAAATGGTTGTTCGAAATTTCAATTATGATGTCAAATTTCTTGATTGCTTCTGAATTTCCTATTATGACTTCATAAAACAAAGGCGACCATGCCTGATGACGTCACATATAAAGAACACAACTTTCTGCAAATCTTTGAAAAGGAAAGATAAACTTGTTTAGATATTGTCTTAAAATCATCAAGAGAAACAGATTCCACCACTATATCTTTGTGTATTACTATATTTCTCCACTCTCAACAGTTAGATTTTAGATATTTTAAAAGCTCAGCAAGCCTCATGTTTTAAATTTAAAATTGAAATGTCTCGAGTGGAGCAATATCGTAATACACTTGATGCAGTGGTGGAATCTATATTTCCCTGTTAACTTGTCTTATTCTCACGTTCTATCAAATTATTGAAGAATATGGAAAAAAACTATGAGAGGCAGACATTAATATTGAAGGATATACCAAACTGACCAGATGTATTTTCATAACTTTATATAACACTTTCAATATTAGATTGATCTATAATGATTGATCTAAGCATTTACACTTGAAGAAAGATCTATTAAAAAAAGGTTGATGGCTTTAAAACCACTTGTCCAATTGAAGTTTGATCTTTGCCATTTAATTTAGACTAAAGATAAGACCAAATCAAGTCATTTTGGTGCATGTCACCTCTAACAATTTGGATGGACTATAATAAAACAAAGCCTTATTTGTACACATGTTAGAATTGTGATTTCAATCACAGAGTTCGCTCATTCTATTCTCATAGGTGATGATGTTATAATTTTCTAGCTAGAAACATGTTCTCCAGTTGCATCTTTTAAGTTGCAGGAAAACTACCAATTGTTTGTTGCATTCTTACATTGCATTGGTAGTTTAGGACTGGTAATTTGAATGATTAACGAGGAATTAATGGTAAACTTATCTGAAAATCTGAGCTCGGTACATTCATGGTAGTCTGTACAACTATCTAACTAAAGTGTTTGGTTGTTGTATTTCAGTGTTCTGTCAGTTGTGGAAGAGGAAGTCAGACTAGACTGGTTCACTGTTTAGATGAGCTTACTCAGGAATTATCTACAGGCTGTGATTGGGCTAAGAAACCAGATTCTCAAAACGTCTGTGTTAAACCTGGATGTCCAAAACCAGGTAATCATATTTATCTCAAGAAATGATAAAATATGCATGTGATTGAAAAATCTTTTACAGGATGATTAAAGAAGGAATATGTGTATTGAAGAATGTTAATCAAACTTGTAAAGGCTAATGAGAAATATTTTTATATTCTATTGGAGCAAAATGAACATATTGCACCAAACATTTTGGAAAAAGATTGCTTTGCACTAATTCAAAACAGACCAACTTGCAGCCTGAAATTTTCCCTTGACCATACAATCATATATAGAGTTATCCTTCTTGGTCTATGTGCTTTCAATTATTTTCTTGCATGGGTAGACACTTCTTTAATAAGTTCTTAAGCTTTAAACAAATGTGCATATCTACAAATTAATCTGTTTGGATGTATACATGGATGATTACACCAAAAGATACAAGACTATTTTGAATAGTCTATTTATAGCCCTTCCTGTTGCTATGGAAGGGTATACTCAAAATGTATCTTTTTACTTTACATGTATTAATGCCCATAATATACACATATGTTTATATTGTTTAATTTTATTTTCTAGTTAAATTTATATGAGCTATACAATATAATATGTTTTTAGATCCGGTGCTTACCTACGTCATGTTTTCCAAATATATGTAATGATACATTTGTTTCTTCAACGGTTCATACAATTTTGCACTGTATCTCACAGTACATTTAAATCTTCATTTTTTCCAGATCCAAGGTGCACAGACCAATTCAAATGGTGCTTTTTAGTCCCGAAACATGGAATATGTCATCACAGATTTTATGGATCAAAATGTTGTCGTTCATGTCGTGGATTCTTCACAGGATAATATTTCTCCAATATTCAGGGAACCTCAGATTTCATATTTGACACTGTTGACAAGAACTATTATGGATAAGACAAATTCAAAGGGAAATAACTCTTGTTTGTTGGACAAATATTTTATATATGATTAATTTTTTTGACAGACAATTGATATGTATGTGATATCTACATTTAATCATTGCCAACTTTTTTTCATCATTTGTTACGTCTGTATTTTCATGTCACGTGACAATCTTTTACAAAATGTTTATTAATTTGTCAGTTTCTTTTAAAGTAACCAAAGGGTACAAACTAGCAAATAAATTATGTATTTTACATTTAATATGAGTATATTTGATATTGTATTTTATTGATGCTGTATTTTTAATTAATCAAAATGTCCTGTATACAGTTTTGTATTTATTTATATTTGTTGAAATGTTTTTTAAGGGAATTTTTTAATTAGCTGCATCTGATATTAAAATTACTTCTGAATGAGAAACAATTGTAAATAGCTGAATATATTAATCCTATTGTAGAGGATCAGTGTTCTAAAATATGATCACATATCTGTATTACATATTTAGGTGTAAAATGCTAAAATGTTATCTACATTTTGCAATTTACATTCTGAAGACGAATATTGTTTACTTACAATAGAAAACAGCATTTTCTTAGGTTATTCCATTAAATTTAATGTTGGAGGTATGGAACCAAGGTTTTTTTTTTGGACATTGGTCATGGGTCATTTATGTTTGTATTTCTACTTGATGTTTGTAAAATTACTAATAAAAATTAAGGTATTTCGGTTAGAAGTAAGGGATTGAAAGTCCCGTCCTACCTTCCCACCTCTGTAATAGAATAGTCCTGATAGCAATTTACCTTGTGTAATCCTGAAATTTATTCAACAGAACATTAAAACTGTGGGAATAAGTAAATGGATAAGAATAATGTTATGGGAACAAAACTAGAAAATTAGAGCTTGATGAAATAAGTCAACACATTAATTTTACATTGTTTATTAATATTATATCATATTAATGTCAGATGTACAGTTTCTATTGTTATTTTAAAAAATATATTTATGTAGAATGTCATATATGCATTTGTTATATCATGTGAAGCAAAATTGTGAATTTAATTGTCATTTGTCCTGGAGTTTAAAGTTGGACAAGGTCTCTCATATCCATTGGTTAGTAAGTTGACGCCGGTCAAGTATTTCTTTCTTTAGTATAGAGACTTAGTTGTTTCATTATCTTTCATGTGGACTGGTACTTTTTCCTATTTGTAGGTGGTTCTTTATATATATTCAAAAACTGTGGTTTCATTATTATTCGTGTGATACCAATTTTCTTGGATATCGTTGATATAGGAAAACCACGAATTTAAATGTTCAACAAAGTAGAAATTTACTTTAAGCTTGAATGCAGACTTTGGCAAAACCATGAAATTAAATATCCACGAAAATATGGTTTTTCCTCAATCAACAAAAATTGGTACCCATGAAAATAAAAGAATGCACAGTAGTACCTTATATAAAAATTCCAGAATGCAAGGTATTGTGGAAGGGTTTAAGTACTGGGTACCGCCTTTTATTCAAAGGCGAGTAAACATGGTTGCATGGGTATTCCTTACATACAATCGCAGCAGTGTCATGAGCATTTCATACTTTTTCATCCAAATGTATTGGATTTATCTCAACTGTTCTTTTTCAAATTAATCAAGGGAGACAATTTATAAATGATCCAGTGCATCAAAATCTGTCAGTTTGTAAATGTATGTATCCCATCAAAGTTTATGAAGTTTATGAAGTTTGTTCTTTTATAAATTTCATTCATAAATATGCATTACACCAAGATGTCATTAAATGTACTTGGATACCCTGCATTTATCATGCTTTTCAAAAACATAGGGTCAACCGCTGAAAGATCCCCCCCCCTCCACCCTTCCTAAATTTTGAAAACTATTATTCTGCATTGACAAAAATATCTAACGCCCCCCAAGGTGTATCTAATAGCTCACACCCTTGATATTCATATTCCAAGCTTTAAGCTTAATTTTACTAGGTGTGCTTTCTTTATGTTATTGATTTAGAGCTGTTCCAAATTTTATCCAAAGGGAAAAGGGGGGGGGGGGGATTGGAACACTCAAAATATAGGTGGTTGCATTTTCCATAGAATTTTGTAAAAATTATAAGTCAAATAGATATTTTGTTGTATAGGTGGTTGGGGTCTTAAAAAATGTTATATTTTGTACTGGAACAGCCATTAGGTAAGACCACTAGTTTTCTCATGAACTTTTCATATTTATCAGGAGCTATATATAACACACAGTCATTTTTGGTTCTTTGGCAATCCTATCAGGTCTATTATTTCTACTCAAGTTTGACAGTTGTCTCTTTATTAGAAGGCCCATAAATTGAAAAGTCTAATCTGTCAAGAAATGCATTGCATTTTTTCAGCTGATGTATGGGAGACAACTCATGTTCACATAGTCTTGTGCAATTGCAAGTTTTTAATTTTAAGATTTTTTTCAGGATCATAGTAATATATATGTGTTTTATACAATTAAGTATTTTATATAAAAATTGTCATTAATAAACATTTGATACAGCTTTTGTTATATTTTTATCAACTTATTGTTATAATATATATGGGTCATGTGGGCTATTGCCATCACTTAGTGTCTATCATTGTTGTCATCATAGAAGTCTTCATAAATTTTTTGTTGATCCTCTACTTTTAAATCACAGGACCAATTTCAACCAAATTTTGTCTGAACCATTCTTGCAGTGTTTTATATAAAGTTTGAGGTTTTTGTTCCTGCCAATCAACCAACATTGTCACCATGGCTAGAAATATAACATAAGGATAAACTTCTTTAATAGTTTAATTTCTTGAATACTATAATGCATGGAGGAAATCTGGACTGGTCAGAAATGCTCAGAATATCATGAAAACTATAATACATGGAGGAAATCTGAACTGGTCAGAAATGCTCAGAATATCATGAAAACTATGATACATGGAGGAAATCTGAACTGGTCAGAAATGCTCAGAATATCATGAAAACTATGATACATGGAGGAAATCTGAACTGGTCAGAAATGCTCAGAATATCATGAAAACTATAATAAAAACTGAAACTGTAACCAGCTGAAATGAACCAGGTTAGCAATTCAGGAGAATCTTATTCATATTGAAAAAGGTATATAATATTGGATGATGCAAATCTACTACATGATGATTGTAAGAACTATTTACAGTTGTGTAAATGGTTGTAATCTGATATTGATGGGTTTGTATGCTTAATTTTTGTCACTCCAGTCCCCTGGGAAATTATATTGTTTAAATGAGAAAATAAAGGTGGAAATTTGTTTTGACAATTATCACTTTTGCTGTTTGTAATTTATAGTCCTTGATTGGTCAAAAAATCTGTTGTCTTGCTGAAGACTCTAATACAAAAGAAAGTTTATCTGGAATGGCAACAGCTTAAACTGGTGGTATAAAGTTTTATATTTCAGATGGTCACTGGTCTGGATAATCCATACAGTGAAATTTACATCAGGTATATGTCCATTGTTCTTGACCTCATTTTCATGGTTCAGTGACTGCATTGAAAAACTTTTGTAAATCTTTGTTCAGATATTATGAAAGAATATTTGTAAGACATAGAAGTCGGTCAGATTGGATTCACCCGACCATGACCTTGTGTCCTTATTCAGAAATTAATATTGATTTTTTTTATAAGATCAGTTTCTCGGACACTCAAAGCAATGGATCATCTATATTTGGTATAAAGATTGGTTGCAAGGGGTACTTGTCTGTTTAACTTGGTTAATCTGACCTGATTTTCATGGTCCATTGGTCTCAAAAGTTTTCATGATTATGTCAGTTTCTGGAATACTTCAGTAAAAGGTCAACTATAATTGGAGTATAGAATGGTTTAAAGGGGTACATGTCTGTCTGAAAGGGTTCATATTAACTTCGCTTCATTTTCTTGTTTCATTGATCAATGTTAGATTTTTGTTATTGGGTTAAGTTTCTTGAAAAGTATAAATAATAGGTATACATTGTATTTGTTATATAGAAAAATTGTAATGGGAACATGTCCGTCTGCTAATGTTCATGAAATTGACCAGATTTTAATGGTTCAATTATCAATGTTAAGTATACTATTTGAGAAAACTATTGGCATACAGAATGATTGTCAGGGCTTCATATCTGTCTGATATTGTTCATTGGACGTTGACCTCATTTTTATTGATCAAAGGTTAAGCTTTTGTGATTAAGTCAGTTTCTCTGATAAGTAATTGGTCCTAATGATAATAGTAAGTTTATGTGATGCCTGTAGTATGACCTAGATCATGAAGTTTTTAATATAAAAGTCACAATCAGTTAATAAGGCAAGACATTAAAGTGTGTGCTCTTGTGTAATTTATCAGTTACTCATGTTTTCTAGACAAAAAACACCACAAAAAAAATGAGGAGAAATGAAATACATAGGAGAGGGAAAAATGAACATGTTGATTTTGACAAAACTTTTAAATGGTAGTACAAAAATTTAGAAAACATAATAGAATATTTTTTTGTCTGAATTAGAATAATTGAAAATTTAAATTATAGATTTATATAGTAGCACACAGCTACAAGAAATCGATTCTGTGTCTTTTTGTACATAAACTTAGTAAATAATTATAAAAATATATTCCTTATAGCTATCATATTTTCATCCTGAATATGCATGAAAAAATTTACCACTGGATGTTAAGCAATGAGCAATCAATCAATCAATTAATTACCATTTGTTAGTTCAAGTGGTAAAATTATTTTTTCATACTTTATAGTTTCTATGAAGAAGTATCATCCAAGATGTATACATGAAATGTTTGACACTGGATGTTTAGCAACCAAGAACTATTAAACAACAGTAAAATGGCATGTAGAGAACAAGTCAGCTGTAACGTAGAATAAAATGGATGTAAGTATTTATCAGACAGATGATAATGTGGGATATTGAAGCATTTATAGGTTTAATAACAACTTACAAGTGAGAATTCAATATTGCTTTATATCAACTCGAGTTATCTAATTTCAATATAATAATAAATGACCCTTCGGCAAGTTTATTATTACTGTCTAAATTAAATAACTACAGTTGGTATCAAGCCATATCCAATTCTCATGAGTTGTAAAACCTATTGCCCTTATTGTTAACATTCTCATTGTGTTAAATTAAAAATTCTGCGAATCATTGATATAGTCTTTTGCACATACCTGTATGACATCATGTGTCCTATTCCAGAATCAAACTTTCGCATCAGACATTTTACAACTTTTTGTATGCTTCAGAATGTAATAAAATTTGACAAAAAGTAGATTTTTAGGTGAAAAGTGTGAGTGTTTTGTATTTTATTGAAGACACCGCACATGTCTGTTGCCATGAACGAAATGTTTATCGTCTTAACCTTTGAAAGTCACCAATGACCTAAAAAATAGCCAATGGAAATGTTGTAATATCATCCCATGATGCTAGATAAGCTGTGTGATACGAAAAATATTTCTTCATGCAAGAAATAGATCACAGTCCACAATTATAAGAGAAATTTTTGTATATGTTTGAATAAAACAAACCATAAAAAAAATATGTACAAACATAGACAACAAAGAACAACACAAGATCCAGATAGTCTTAAATTGGTACAGGCACACAATTTGATTGGGTTAATGTTTGTATGCATTGTAATTTGCCTCTTTCTGTGTGGTTTTTGCTCATTGTTGAAGACTGCACAGTGACCTGTAGTAGTTCACATTTTTGCCCTTTAGTCTTTGCTGGAATTGTCTCGTGAGCAACCACACCTTTTCTCCATATTTTCAAGAATAGTCCAGGGTCACTGAGCATACTGAAGTCCTGGGTCACTGAGCATACTGAAGTCCTGGGTCACTGAGCATACTGAAGTCCTGGGTCACTGAGCATACTGAAGTCCTGGGTCACTGAGCATACTGAAGTCCAGGGTCACTGAGCAAGTCCTGGGTCACTGAGCATACAATGAAGTCCTGGGTCACTGAGCATACTGAAGTCTTAACTTTAGTCCTGTTTTGGTTTATTTAATGCCTCAGATGAAAGTGCCAAAATTAAACACACAAAAATGAAACATTGACCAAAAAGATAAATGCAAGATTTTCCATAATCATAATTAAATATGATATTATATAATATACAATTTAATTTGATAAGAAAAACCATAATTGCACTAATTATATTATTAGTAAAATGGAAACATCCAATGGTGTAACAGTTTAATTAATGGTCCCCTATACGTGATTACCAGATCAATATTATTACAATAACACGTAATTAATAAAAGGTAAACAATTAATCGACCCTCGTTATAATCAGTGCAAACAAATATGATATGCAATCTTTCTTCATAAATATTATGACAACAGTTTGTGTTGCTATGAATCACTGACAACTAATTGAACAATAATTTCTGAAATACACATATCAAAATACAGTTTTGACACAAAGTGCATAAATGTAACCAGGTTTTTTTTTTGTAAAATATGCAAAATAAACCTACCTGGTACATCAAAATATTAGGCATGTGCCAAGAAAAGTACTGGAACAGCTACATGAAGTATATTAGTTATCTTGGTGTAATCAGGGGTGTACAGAATTTTACACCAGTGTAAAATTTGGTACACCTCTGCTCTGATTGCACCAAGATAACAAATTTATTTCTTATAAAATGTTCCTTTACTTATTTTTGTACAGGGGAATAAGATTGAAATATTCTTATGAAGAGCTTCCACTACACATTTTTTCAACACTAATGTTGCTGCACATTGTAAAATATTACCTTTTTTTAGGGGGGTATTTTGGAGAACACTTTTTTTTATTGATTTGAAAAAAAATTATTTTGGCCAAATTTTTTTTTTTTTTTCCAAAATAATATTTTGGGGAATTAGTAAAAAAAAATTTTTTTTTGTAACTAGTCATTTTTCATTTTGGCAAAATTTTGGCAAATTTTTATCCCATGTAAATAAGGGGGGTGTTATTTACACCCAGGCAATAAACCAATCAGATTGCAAGATTCTTGCTTCATAAGAAATAATAACACTTATGTGCCCAAAATAGTCACTCAACAGATTGGTCCATGAAGATTAAGTAGTCTAACACCAATGGGCCAATATTAGTCCATGGACACTAAGGAGACTAAATCCTAACACAATTGGACCAAAAATATTCCTGAGACACTTTGTAGAATGAAATGTATTCTTGTCAAATTTTTTACACTAATTACTCGCTAAGATTAAATGTCCTGACACAAAAATAGACATAAGCAATGTAATCTTATTTGTCTTTTATAATAGGAACAATATTGATAAAAATGATTAAAAAAAAGAAAATAATTGGGAATATGATGGTAGGTAAACAAGTGGACATTAGATAAAAAATCAAAAAGAAAAACATACAAATTAGACCTAAAAATGGAGATTCAAGTACAAAACTAGGTATTACTTCTTCTTAAGTTTAGTAAGAAAAATCTAATACATATGGTATATAAAAAACTGTATTTTTACTTTCATACTATGAAAAATAATCCCATGAAAA